TTGAAGAAAAGCCAAAGCTCTTGCAATACAGATGTGTGGCTGATCAGAACAAGCCCAGCTGCCACTCCTGGGGAGCAGGGGGCCAGGGCTTTCTGCACATCAGCTCCCGCTCCTTCTTTGTCAGCAGGTGGGCAGCGTGCTTCCTCATCATCTTTGCCGGCTTAGCATTGACTGGCCAGAGTTTTAAAGTCTTTCAGAGCTGTCTATGCCTAGAGTATTTTTACTCTGTATAAATCATTCTCCTGCTTCTGTTCACATCATTCTGCATCAATTCATATGAGTCTTCTCAGGTTTCTCTGAAAACATCCCCTTGGTCATTTCTTACAGCCCAGCCATGCTCCATTCCATTTATATACCATCTCTCGTCAAGCCATTCTCCAGCTGATGGGAATGCCTTTAGTTTCCAGTTCTTTGCCACCACAAAAAGAGCTGCTCTAAATTTTTTATACGTATAGGTTCTCTTCTTTCTTTGATTTCTTTGGGCCACACACCCACTAGTGGTATTGCTGGGTCAAAGGGTATGCAGTGTAGTAACTTTGAGGGCATGGTTGCAGATTGTTTTAAGGAGCGGGTGGTCCAGTCCACAGACTCCCGTTAGTGCTTCTAACAAGTGAAGAGAAGGTACCTTGTGAAGGGGCTGGCACCTGAAAATTTGGATGCCAGATTCTCTGATGTGCAAGTGAGATGGGAGAGCATTCCAGGTGTGCAGGACAGGGGTGTGTTCCCATATCAAGGTGGTCAGCACACACCGATCCATTAACATGAAGATGAGTGTTAAAAAGCCTGACATTTTTGGAGGGAAAAAAACGAACTCTTACAAGAATTGTGGCAGAAACTAACCTCAAGTGGTGTCCCTTTTCTTCCAGTGTTTACAAATGTTGATTTGAGCCGAGGACCCCTTTTTGTTCTCTTTGGGCTCTCTAGTCTGTCTCATGGCTTTGGTTGGTGGTGTGATTGTACAGTGAAAGCTAGGGCTAAATAAGCGTCCTTTTTGTTTTGCAGCAGGATCGGATGGAAACAACAGCTCAGCCCCTGGAGCCAAAAAGCAGGTAATGTTGACTCTAGAGTCTTCCCTTTCAAAGAGAACTGTGGAAGAGCTTGCCCCCGGAGCGGGGTGGGCTGGGAGGGATCTTCTCTGGTTGGGTGTAAAGAGGATGAAGGGAAAGGGAACGTATCTGCAAACTGTAGTGTTTGATCATTGGAAACTTCTTTTTGGGAAGAAGAAATGGCCTGTCTCAGATGAGTGTAACCAAAGGGGCAGGTGTTCTTCCAGAGAAAAATCAAGGGTCAGAACCTTGCCTTGGATTTTCTGAATCGGGTGTTTTGCATAGTGCGGGCAAAGAGCCAGCACTTCATAAATGTTTATTGATTAACCAGGTCTTGAGCCAGAAGGGATGGCGTACACTTCACGGGTCACAGAAAGCTCAGCATGAGGTGTGGGGTTTTTTGTTTGTTTTTGACTTTTAAAATTATAGGAAGTAGAACTGCTTAAATTTGGGGGAGGTTTGTGGCAGCACTTCAGCTTTTACTGATGGCTTGTTTCTTAAATGGAGAAAGGATGTTTAGAAGGCGGATATGTTGTTGGAAAGTGATTTTTAAATAAATAATAACTGAAACTTATGATGCCAATAATAATTTAACTGTGCCTTTAAAATTCCATGGTACTGAAATCTTTTAAAAGGATTATACCATTTGACCTTCCTTAGTAGTTTCAGATTCTTCTCTCTAGACTTTTTCTCTTTGGTGCTCTGGGTATCCTGTTCTTGGGATTTCTCAGAGGACAGGGTGTGATAAGTCTCTTTTGGTTTTCTCTTGCAGAAATGGACTGTGCAAGAGAGTGAGTGGGTCAAGGCTGGAGTGAAAAAATATGGGGAAGGAAACTGGGCTGCTATTTCCAAAAATTTCCCCTTTGTTAACCGAACAGCTGTGATGATCAAGGACCGTTGGCGGACCATGAAGAAACTGGGAATGAACTGAAAACTTCTTTTATTTTCTCAGAATTAATAGGGGCATGTCTTCAAATAATAGCCCTCTATTCCATGCTTTCTTTCAGAAGTTGGGCTGGGGTGATGAGAGTTCTGGGCAGCCTGCTTCTTTGGTTGGGAAGGTCCTTGTTGTTTTTTGCGCTATCAGAAAGCATTTGGAGTTGAGAAGGAGGAGAGCTCCAGCCCAGCCTTCTTGGCAGGAATGACTGAGGTACACACTTTGGGGGGGACCAGGAGGCAGGCAGCTTCCATGTTCTCACGTGGCTTAAATCGAACTGACACCCCCCGCTGGTCAGTAGAAACAGCCCCCAGGCAGAGTTTTAGCAGAAGCCGGGGTAGAAGCCTGCTCCATCGTGAGCCCAGGTGGAGGAGAGCTGTGTCTGTCTGGAAGAAGAGTCTTCACCAGTTGGGACCCCCAGCGGGCCTCTAAGCTGCTGGCATGTCGGTTCTTCTCTTTTCTGGGCCAGAGAGGCAACTTTGAGCCTCGATTCCCACGTGGCTGAACTGGTGTGGGGGCTTTCCCTTTTGTAAAATTGTGTGTTGTAAGTGAGCTTAGTGTTTGCCCTTCTGCCTGGACTCTGGAAGCTTTAAAGAAGCCTGAATCTAGCCCTTAGTTCTGTTCTTAGTTTGTGAAACGTTTGCAGCTGCTTGACGCCCTCATTGTGCTTGTAAAGGGTGGTGTATCGTCGCGTTGCGCAGCAGCTCCTCACGCCTTCTGGTTCCTTCCATATTGTTTGTGCTTGCTGTCTGTCTCAGACACCCTTGAGGAAAGGCCTGATGGTCTCTTTTTAGCCACAACTTTCAGTAAAATGTTTTCTGTAATCTTTTTTTTTTAAAAGATGAATACTAATTATTGTCCATTACTTGTAGCATTCTTCATTAAAATACTGTTTCCCTCACAATTCTATGTAGATGTTCAATAATAGCATTTGATGTGGTTAAGAAACAAGGGGCTGGTATGAAATGATGAACCTTCAAAATATGCTTTCTGCGGTTTATGCCTCTCAAGGACCCAGGAACATACCTTTTCTCACCTGCAGGTTTATGCAGGAAAGGAACATACATAAGTTAACTTCATTTATGTAGAGGCAAGGGTCTTACCCTTGGCTCATACTCTGGGGTCTTACCAACAAGTTTAAAAGTAGGAGGGAACTCTCCCTAACCTCTTCTCATTATGAGTAGATTCAGTTCTCAGAACGCATTATTTGAGCCCCATCTAATTATCCTGCTCAGATTTAACTAAATCTCTTGGTTTTTTAAATCAGCTAACTCAAACATTTTAAAATGGAAGAGATAATCAGCTCTCATTCTCTGGCTTCCCATGGGGGTGTATTTTCTATGCACAGGCGGGGCAGGCCTTGCTTTTGGCCAAAGTGTGTTTGCCATTTAACAAGAACATTTAAAAACGTTTTTATTAAGTATTTACTATGTCAGCAAGTATGTGCCAGGCACTGTACTAACTAGCAGTCCATGCTCTCAGGGAGCTCAAAATCGGATGAAAGAGACAGTGCAGAAAAGGACACTTTAGCTAAAACTTGAAGGAAGTCAAGTGGTAGAGATGCGAGAGACCTAGGGAAAATTAACACATGCAAGGAAGCCAGGTGTCACTGGATCACAGAGTCCATGAGAGGAGTCATGTGTAAGAAGACTGGCAAAGGTAGGAGGGGACTGGGTTATGAAGGGCTACCAAATTTTTAAAAGAGAGACTTTTCCCTCTGGGACCTTACAGCCTACTGGGGATAGATTACACGTGTTGTACAAATAGGCAACTACAAAGTCATTTCAGGAGAGGGCACTGACCAAGGGAGTCTGAGTGGCGTCTTAGAGCCAGACGTTGTGAAAGGTAGTGGTGGGAAGGATGTACATTCTAGGCAAGGCCTGCAGCTTGCATAAAAACCTCGGCAAGGAAAAGGTCCACTTGCTCAAATCCTGTATTTCTAGAGTCACCGTTCTTTTAAATAGAAGAGGTACTTGTGCTTTGACGGTGAAAATGCTGGAGTTCACATGAGGGCTGGAGAAAGCCGACTAATATTAGTGACCGAAGCTGAGAAATTAGCAGATCAAGGCTGTAAACTGTGGTTTTAGGTATCAGGATGTGCAGGTATGGGCATTTAGCTTCTGGCTTTACACATGGAAACCTTTGGTAAGCAATATAGGTGTGGTATCTCATATACTTACCCACCCTAACCAGTGATAATACATCATGGATTGTCACAGACATCAAGCATCTTGCCTTTAAAACTGGTGCAACTGGTGTTGCCTGCAGAGTTCTCTCATTTTCTGCCTAGCAGTGGGGCAGGAGCATGTCACAGCAACTTTCCCCCTCTGCCCCTGGGGAGTAACAAGGACAGACTGCATATTCAGAACCCCCAATCTAGACAAGGTCTCAAATCATCTTGAAGTGTCTAACCCCTTTCTTTAACAGTTGAGGAAACTGGGACCCAGGAAAGTAAGGAGTAGTTGGGATAAGAACTGAGATTAGACCTCACATTCATTCATTCATTCATTCATTTATTTATTTTTGCTTTTGGGTGAGGCAATCAGGGTTAAGTGACTTGCCCAGGGTCACACACCTAGTAAGTGTCAAGTGTCTGAGGTCACATTTGAACTCAGCTCCTCCTGACTCCAAGGCCGGAGCTCTATCCACTGCACCACCTAGCTGCCCCCAGAACTCATCTTTGAAAGCTGGCACTTTTAAATAGATAGTAATAGAAAACTATACACAAGAAACTTATTTGTTCATTTACTTAGGGATTATACTCTAAATTTACTCAGTTGCCCAAGTAAGTTGAAATAAAAAATTACAGTTTGCTAAGGATGGTTGGCAGTATGCTCTGTTTTTAGCCAGTATCCAGGACTAAAAATCATTTGTTTTTTCTAAAACTAGAAAGAGCCATAAGCCAGTCACTTTGAGTGTCCCATACTTAAGAGGCAATATGCGTGACCCAAGGTCCTCGATGTGTGGGGAACTATAATTGCCAGAAGAGGGATGAGTGAAGTTAATTATTACCCCAACAGTGGCCAAAACCGATCGTCCCCTGCTCTGCTCCAAGCAAAGCGTCTGGATTCTGGAGGAAGCAGCATGTCTCCTTCCCTCTTCGTGGTTGTAGTGGCATTCCTGAATCTGGTGCTATTGGCCAGAGGACAGAAGACAGAGCCCTTCAGTGGCCTCACTGACCAAACACTTTTTCGTGGAGCTGATCGCTATGATTTTGCCATCATGGTCTCACCAGGAGAAACAGAATGCTTCTGGCAGTTTGCTCACCAAAGTGGATACTTTTACTTCACTTACGAGGTGGGTCACCAAGGAGCTTCCCTTGTCAAGCAGGGGCTTTCATTATTTATTCTTCTAGAGGGAGGCTATGTTCCCTTCACCCTGATATTACTTACTAGCCTGGCATCTCGTTCTGACTAGAGTCCCCAGCAAAAGGATTATTCATCACACCCAAGAGGGTTGAACATATGGCATAAGAGAGAAGCCGTAGATCTTTCTTTAGCCATAGAAAGGTATCCAGATTGCCCTGGTCACTCATTTCCTTTACCTTAGGAGATTTTTAAATGTATTCATATATCACCAGTGAAAAGATACAACCAAACTGATTTGTTCATGGTATGGGTCATACAGATCCTAATTTCATGTTATTTGAAATCATATTTGGGACTCGATGGTTTCCGAATGGTGCTGGCAGACAAATGATTGGAAAGAATTTGGTATAAGATGGTACGATCAGGACAGCTGAGTAACTGAAGTAACAACAGTAAAAACAATTGAGATTTATATAGTGCTTCAAGTTTCAAAAGCACTTCATGTGCGTTATCTCATTTGGTTCTACCCTGTGAAGTCAGCACTAGCCCTAATTCCCATTTAACGTTAACCATGAGGAAACACACTCAGAGCATAAGTGCCTTATTTAGCAGGTGGATGAGTAAGAAAGCATGGAAAGGACCATGCTGTTCCAACTTTGAGTAGCCTTGTAAGGCCACATATTCGAGGGACTGAGTAAATTTCTAATTGTCTAATCCAAGGATCAGCAAACCACAGCCCGGCCACCTGTTTGCACGGCTAGAAAGCAAGCTAAGAATAGATTTTACATTTTTAAATACCACTCTCGGCTCTGGTTTGCCGACCCCTGACTCTAATCCAGTGTGGGTGCTGTTACATTTCCTTTGTTATCTGTCACACGTTCTCATAACAGCCTTTGAAACCTGTTCCTTCCAACTGCTGTTTGCACAGCAACAGGCTGTTTAAATCCCATTCCACACTCACACAGCAGTTACTTCTTATCTGTGAAAGTCCACAAAGGTCCTGCTTTGCTTAGGAGCTCACCTCGTACCTCCAGTGAAGACGAGCTGCCCGTGCTGTCCTTTCTATAAGCACGGGCTGTCAAGCTGTCAAGGTGAACCATGCAGTGGCTGTCTCACATTAGAACTTAATGAGACGATTTCATTCTAGAACATTCCAGCAAGGACAAAACAACAAATTGTGCCTATAGTCTGATATGTAGCCTCAGTTGTAAGGGAAGGTCCACTTAGTTACAGGCCATACCCTACCCTGTTCTATTCAAGGTGTGTGTCATAGGAGGGTAACTCAATTCCATAGCCTCTGAAAACAGCTGAGGATTATGTAGTCGATCTAGCACTGGCCATGGACTCAGATGATCTGGATTCAAATTCCACCTTAGAGGGGGCAGCTAGGTGGCACAGTGGATAGAGCACCGGCCTTGAAATCAGGAGGACCTGAGTTCAAATCTGGCCTCCGACCAAACACTTGACACATTAGCTGTGTGACCCGGGCAAGTCACTTAACCCCAATTGCCTAAAAACAAAAACAAAAAACAAACAAACAAAACCAAATTCCACCTTAGATATTTACAAGCTGTGTGATGAGAGTTTGATGAGAAGATGATAACCTAAATTTTGATTTTGAGATGTGATGATGATAACCTAAAGTTTCTCATCTGTAAAATGGGCCCAATAATTCCCATATTCCTGTATGAATGCAGAATTAGGAAGGCTCAGAATACAAAGGTGCAGTATAAGGAAACATGGAAGTCACAGGACAGTAAAACAAGCCAGCTCTAGTGAGGGGACATGCAATATAAAGAGGATAGTGGAGCCTCAGATGTAATTGGTCACACCCGGCTGAGGACCTTGAGGGAATGGGGCAACGTCACCCCGCGCCCCGCCCCCCCAACCAATAAAGTCTGGTTGGTTTTTAAAGGGTTCCAGTGTGGCAAGGTTCTTTCACACTGGGGGAAGGGAACAAGGATCTGGGTGTTGGTGCGGATTCATGCTAATGGGAAGGAAGTTTCGTGGGGAATTGGTGGCTAATGAATATCCAACCTCTCTCAGCTCTGGTGAGGAAGGGGTTTGTGGCTAATATTGCTAATAATGATTTTGTTACTATCTGACAAGGTGACTGAGGGATTTTTGAGCTTCTCTGGGGCTTCTTTAGGCATAGGGAGGCTGCTGCTGGGGTCATTATAACTATGTCACGGGGGAGGTGGGTTGTGAAGAAAGCATTCTGCAAACCTGTATAAATGCATAAATGCTAGTAAATGTGTGACTGTCATGAATTCTGCTGAAAAAATGAATTACCCCCAAACACCTCAATGACCCAATTCCTCAGTCTACCCCACCTCAGACTCTCATGATGTACTTCTCCATTTCATCTCAGCTACACACAGGGATGGTCAGAAACTTGAACTAAAAGAGATCGACTTCAAAAATGAAAAACTCTGACATTCCTTCCATCAGATCTTTAACCTCTTCTAATTCCATCTCTCCCTCTGCCTTTCCCCTCCTAAACTCATTATATATCCTAACAAAACATCCAGACTGTCCATCTCTCAGTACTCTCTCTGGACATCATACACACTCTAACCTCATTCTCCTCTCTTCCCAATCTTGAATCTATAATTAATTAAAAGACAATCAGTTCTTTTACTCACTCCCCATAGAGGCTGTTCTAAACCTTTCTTTAAGCTTCCCACACCATCTCCTCTCCCTCCATTATGTCTTACTTGTGAAGAGGAGAGGAAATCAGGCATGATATGACATGCACCTTAGAATTGGGGAAAGCAGATTTCAAAGGGTTTGAGGAAAGATAAATAGAATCTCACGGACTAAAACATACTATAGGAGAAAGTTAACCCAGGAGGAAAGGATGATGCTCAGAAACTAAATTCAGAAGACACAAAGGGAAAATTCCAGTGAGAAGGAAAAATGGGTTTTGTCAGAAGTAAATAATGTTATTTTTAAAAAAGAAATGTGTAGAAGATGGAATCAAGGCCAACTGGGTGAATATAAAATCATGGCACAGTCTTTTAAAGTAGTGTCAAGTCAATAAGCATTTATTAAACACCCACTATATGCCAGGCCCCAAACTAAATGTTGGAGTGTTGACTAAGTGGTCCAGACAACTCCCCATGCTCCTTTGCAGTGGTTTGGGGATTAGTGGTAAAAGGGGAGGAATATGCCCCAGGGAATGTGAACATCATAACCTAAGATTTTTTCCCATTTATTGACCAGTTTTGCTCATTTTTTTTTGTTTTCTTTTTCTTTATTTTTAAAAAATTCTTATTATAAGAGATGCCTCCCTGGAAGAGGGGAGGAGAAGGCATACAAAGGGAAATGGCAGTGTGAAAATAAAGATAACAATAAAAATCTATTACGAAAATTATGTTGTAATGCTGAAGTTCAGAATGAGCTGAGGCTGGCCAGAGAAGCTAAAGACAACAAATTTCATTCATTCATTCATTCACTGATTTATTTATTTATAGCTCTATTGGGAGAAAAAGGAGGAACAAGGAAGGGATGGAACTTTTGCTTGGAGTAGATGATGATAACTAACAATACAGAGAATGGAATGCTGTTCAACTCTTGCTTATGTTTTCTCTGAAAAGGAGAATTGCTTTTAAACTGGAAATGATAGAATAAAAATCACTAATAGTTGATACCCAAGAAAAGTAAGGAGACAGTAAGAGAATGCTGCGCTGTCCTCGATGAATTCAAGTCACCTGGCTCAAATGAACCACCATTTTGGCTCCTGAAAGAACTGGCAAACATGATGGCCAGGCCACCATCAGTGATATCTGAAAAATCATGGAAAATAGGAGAGGAATCATAAGATTGGAGAAGGGTGAATGTCCCAATTTCCAAAGAAGGAAGAGAATAGAATCTCCAAACTATAGGCCAGTGAATTTAACTTTGATTCCTGGGAAAATTCTAAAAGGATCACTGTAGGGATGATTGGTGAATACCTGGAAAGGGAATTGGTGATTACAAAGAACCAGCCTAACTTTATCAACAGGTCATGCCAAACTAATTTCATTTCAATTAAAAAGTTTTTTCAAAATAAACTTATTTTTAATATTCATTTTTAAAAATCTGAATTCCTAATCCTCTCCCTTCCTCCAGGCCCTCCCCCACCCATTGAGGAGGCAAGCAATACTTCATTTCAATTTTTTACAGTTACTAAAATAGTAAATTAAGGAAATGTAAATATCATTTACCTAGATTTTTAGCAAAGCTTTTTGACAAATTATCTCATTATCTTCTTATGGAGAAGATGCACCAGTGTGGACTGAATAGATGGAGGCTGAATTGGTCAAAAAGTAGAATTCAAAGGATAGTCATTAAAGATCAAATCAAACCAATCCATATTTATTAAGCACCTATTATGTGCCAGGCACTGTGCTAAGCACTGGGGGTACAAAAAGAGGCCAGAGATGGTCCTTGCTCTCAAGAAAGCGATGTCAAAGTGGCAGGAAGTCTCTAGTGGAGTACTTTACAGGTCCATGCCTGGTCCAGTGCTGTTTAACATTTTTATCAGTGACGGAGAAAGGCACAGGTGGCATGCTCATCAGATTTGCTGATGACATTGAGCTGAGAGGGATAACTAAGACCCTGGATGACAAGTGGGATCCAAAAGGATCTTCACAGGCTAGAGCACTGGGTGCTTTTTGAGGGCAACAACCACATTTTTGCCTATCTCTCTCTGGGCTTAGCCCAGTGCCTGGCACACAGTATAAACACTTAGTAAAGGCTTGTTGACTTGAAGATGACCTAGAAAAGGGAGCAAATGGCCTTGTTCCGTTTGGCCCCAGAGGGCAGAACCAGCAGCAATGGGTGGAAATCGGAAAAAGGCAACTAGGGAAAGCTTCCTAACAACGAATGGCCTGCCTCTAGAGGTGGTGAGTTCCCCTCCCTGGAGGTCTTTGAGCAAAGGCAGGGCAACAGCTGATCAGGTATGCTATAGTGGGGATTCTTTTTGTGTATGGGTTGGCCCACAGGGCCACTGAGGTCCCTTCTAACCCCCAGATTCTGAGAGGGGGGCATCACCTCTCATGTGGCTCACTCCAATAGCCTCCTACAAGTCTCCTTGCCTTGCGCCTCTCTCCTATCCAATTCACCTTTCACACATTAGCCAAAGTCATTTTCTAAAGTGCAGGTCTAACCATGTTACCATGCAACTCAATGAATGAATGAATGAAAAGTACGTTTTTAAAAGGCTTTACTTAAATTCATCAAGCACAGTGCTGAGAGCTTGAGATTAAAATACCAAGGCAGTCCTTTTCCTTAAGGAGCTTGTATTTCCATAGGGGAATAGACACATAGGGGAATGGTGGCCAGGGAGGGGCATTTTGGTCCAAAACTTACAGGAATGGTGAGTGGGGCCATTGAGAAAGAGACTGACAGCCTCAAACAGGAGCAATTGCAGAGTTGATCTGGCCATGGTTTGTGATTCCAGCACCGAAGAGGGTGAGGACATGTCAGCTCTTCTATTTATAAAGTCCATCATAATCTGGTCCAACCTACGTTGACAACTACCTTTTCAATGTGTTCCTTCCCTGAAAGGTCCCGGCGGTTCCATTTGTACCTCACACATGATACATCTCCTGCCCCCAGTGCTTTTTCACAGATGGTCCCCAGGATGCATGGAATGCACTCCCTCCTTACTTCCACCTCGAAGAATCCATAGTTCCTTTCAAAATTCTACTGGTGACACCTTCGTGAAACCTTTCCTGGTCCCTTCAGCTACTAGTGCCCTCTGTCCAAAAGAATTTACCTGGGTTCCCTGACTTTCTGAAAGCATGAAACACACTTTCTAGTTTAACTTGCATTATTAATATTTTCTCCCTTGCTTTTTTTTTAAAAAAGTCTAGACAACAAAAGAACAAGTCAAGCCCTTATTTACAGCATTTTCTGATTTTTGAGCTGTGAATGCTCACACTGAAAGCTTAACAATTGACTCTCATGTACCAGGATAAGCTAGCTCCAGCACACCTTTTGTTCACTAAGACACTTTCAAGGGGATCTTCAGGGTCAAAACTATTTTCATAATAATACTAGTACATTTGAATTTCTAATATGGTAAATATCAATAGACACAACCCACATAAGAAACTTTTCTTTTTTTGGGGGGGAGGGTCCTCAGTTTTTAAGACCATAAAGGAGTCCTGAGAACTGCTGATATAAGCCATTGCCTGGAAAATGTCCAAAGACTATACACTATGATGACACATTCTTTCCTCAAAATCCCTAGCTCTGGCCAATTGACCTGAGGTTATGCAATGTGCGCTTAATTGAAGATATTACCTAATCCTGATATTAGAAGAGGAGCCAAGATGGTAGAGTAACAGGAAAAAATACAGCTAAACTCTCCTCCACAACTCCTCCAAACAGATCGAGAAAACACACCACACCAAGTCCACTGGGAAATTCAACAAAAAGAAATCATAAGTCACTTTTTTGAACCCAGGTCAGCATAGGGAGACAGAGAGGTCTGTGGACACTAGGATGGGGTCTAGCCAGGAATGGCCAAGTGGAACACTTCAGCATAGGGAGATGCATCCACCAGGTGAAGAAGAGGTCACTGATCCACAGCCAGGTATAACCTCGTGCTGGATTTAAGAACAGGTACCGACCGGCAGGAGGAGCCTGCCTATTTAACTCACTGCCCAGTTCCAAGGCTGACTCAGGAGGACACAAGCACCTAGTAAGGCCCAACTGCTGCCCTGGGGCTGTGTACTGAGCAAGGAGCAAGTTCAGAAATAAGTAGGAGCTTTGTGGCCCAGACCCCAAAAGTAGAGTGGAGACTCAGTTCCACCCTTTAGTTTGAAGCCTGTAGAAGACCATCCAGGGCAGAAATTCCTGATCAAATGGGAGTCTGCAGTTCTGTTATTCTGAACCAGAAGAGCTTTCTAGCTGGCCGATAGTGGCTGAGTCAATGATAGTCTACTGGAACTCTGACCAGAGCAAGTCCACAGACATATTACATAAACCCAAACCTAGATTAGGAACTTGCAGAGGTGAGACCAGGAGGATGGCAATCAGACTTTGCCTAGAATCACCACTTTGAGAACAGAAAACTTGCAGGTTCCCCAGACTGAGCTGTCCCTGAAGTCCTGCAATAACAACACTTAATATCCCCAATAAAACAGCAGCAGGATCAGCTCAGATGTTCCCTCCAGCAGTGTACAGAACTTGCCCTAACACAAAGTCCAAAGTCAGGAAGCTGGCTGGAAGAATAAGGGAAAAAAAATCTCACTATATAAAGCTTTAAAGTGACAGAGATGCTCAGAATATAAACCCAGAGGAGAATGACTTCAAAACATCTACAAGAAAAGCTTCAAAAACACAGTGTGGGCACAAGTGCGAAAAGAATTCCTGGAAAAAAATGAATTTTTATTATGCTTATGCATAGGTTCAGGATTCAAAAAAATAATGTTGAGCAAACATAAGGATTCTAAAGTGGCTTTTATAGACAAAATTAATGTCAGAGTAACAGAGAAATAAATTCTTTTACATATTGCACTCTCATACAAACTCTAAGTTAAAAAAATTTTTTTTAAAGTATAAATGAAACAAGAGCACTAGAGGGGGAAATGGAAAATAAATGAGAATTATAAAAGAAAATTGGAAAGGGAATTAATAGCTTGGCACAAGAAACGTAAAACCTTACCTGAAAATTACTGGCTTAAAATTAGAATGAACTAAATAAAAATAATGACTCCATGAGACAATTTTTTTTATTTTTCAATTTTTTAATTTAATATTTCCCCCCAATTACATATAAAAACAATTTTAACATTCTTTTTTTTAAATTTTGATTTCCAAATTCCATTTCTCCAAAGCTCCCTCCCCTTCCCCCTCATTGAGAGGGCAAGTGATTTGTAGGGATTATGCATGTGCAGTCATGCAAAACATATTTCCTTATTAGTCATGTTGTGAAAGAAAATACAGATCAAAAAACCTCCAAGAAAAAAGAAGAAAGTAAAAAAAATGCTTAGATCTTCATTCAGAAGGCCATTCTCTGGAGATGAATGGCATTTTTCATCATAAGTCCTTTGGAAGTCATTGAGACAAAAGAAATATTAAAATGAAGTCAAAAGACTGAAAGAAATAGAAGAAAATGTAAGATACCTTATTACAATAATGATGGATCTGGAAAGGAGACTGAGGAGAGGTAATTTTAAAAAGCTATGATCAAAATAAAAAAAATAACTTGGCCATTATATATCATGAAATCTTAAAAGAAATCATAAAAAAAGGGAAATTTTAAATTCCTATCACAACTATAAATAAAGTTTTTAGAGGGAGAAATCCAAGCTATCCATAATGACATGAAAAATACTCATGAATGCACTGTTGTGCTGTGACTGGTCCAGCCATTCTTGAAAGCAACCTGAAACTATACCCCAAAGAGATCAAAGAAAGAGGAAAAGGAGCCAAATGTACAAAAATATGTATAGTAGCTCTTAAAGCGCATTCATCAATTACAGAAAGGCTGAATAAATCATGTTATACAAATATAATGGAATATTACTGTGCTGTGAGAAATGATGAAGGGGATGGTTTCAGAGAAACCTGGGAAGGCATATATGAATTGACTGAGAGTAAGGTGAACAGATTACAAGAATATATTAAACAGTAACAACAGTATTGTAAAGACAAATAACCTTGAAATACTTAGGAACTCCGATCAGTGCAATGACCACACACAGTGCCATACGACCAACGATAAAACATGCTACTCACTTCCTAACAGAAAAGGGATGGATTCATAGAGAACACTGAGCTCTGGGGTGGGGAGTGAGAGGGAACATAGCCAACGTGAGAATTTTGCCTGACTGCAGATTAGCATAATATGAGTTTTGTTTTTCTTTCTTTATGGAAGATGGATTTTTAATGACTGAAAAAAATGTGTGTATGTATGTGTGTATGTTATGTGGATTATATGTATGTGTATGTATATGTGTGTATGTATGTATAAATGTGTGTGCGTGTGTATATATACACACGCGCACACACACTCACATACACACACACATACACTGATATTTGGACATCATGTCCAAGCAATGAGGGGCATAAAATGAGGGGCATAAAATGAAGGGCATAAAAGCTGCTTTCAATACTAATTCAATTCATTAAGGTGAGCCCTATTTCGAAGATATCTAATGAAATTACAGATTTATCAATCCTTGACTTTTCTTAAAGTGATGAAAGAGCATAAATATGGCCCAACAGCTCCGTTTTATAAGTTCAGACCTGTTGACCTCCTCAGATGGGGCTTGCATTTGGTATTTGGTCACTCTGAGATCTCTATAGCTTCTCATTGCTGACTGCTATAAATCAGTCCAATTCAACACAGGTTTCTTTTGTGTTTACTGTGCTCCAAGGTGCACTGCACTAGGTGTTGGTGAGAGAAAGACAGAAATGAAAACTGCCAGCTTTTAAGAAGCTTACACCTAGACGTTCTTCACCCTGCTCTCCATATCTTGGCAGGTCCAGCGGACAATGGGATTTTTACACGGCCGTCATATTACTGCCACTGCACGTACTCCAAAAGGTTTTCTCATTGATAAATCCCAGGACATCCGAGGCCAGATCAACTTTTCTACCAAAGAGACAGGTCTGTGTTCAGTAGTACAGTAGCTGCCTATTCAGTTCCCCATCTTGTCACCTTGGTCTGTGGTTTCTAGACAATTGAGCAAAATATCTAGGGGGGTATTGAGATTAAGGCTTTTTTTCCCCCCCTAGACTGATAAGGAAATGGCAAGTTCATTTAAACATTTATTAAGTGCAAGGCTCTAGGATATGGGATAGTATTGAAAGTATTGGATACTTGGAAGGATACGGGGGGCCCCTAGTCATGTGCTCCCAAAAACCTGTGAGCAGCAGCCCCCCATGACAAGGTGGGTGTCCATCGGTATTGTAGATACAAAAGCACAGAATGAGACATCCCATTCCCTGCCCTCAAGGAGCTTCCATTCTTCTGGGGAGAGATTCATTGTCATAAAGAAATAAATACAAAGTATACAAGGCAATTTCAGGTAGATTTGTTGTGATTTTAGTCATGTTCAACTCTACATGACCCCATTCGAGTTTTTCTTCGTAGATACTGTAGTGGTTTGCCGTTTCCTTCTCTAGCTCAAACAGGGTTAAGGGTTAAGTGACTTGCCCAGGGTCTCACAGCCAGTATAAGTGTTTGAGGATAGATCTGAACTTGGGTCTTCCTGCCTGCAGGCCCAGCTGGACAGAGATCCAGCTACCCACCTAGCTGTCCCTTCGGGTAGACAGCACTTTAAAAGGCCTCACAGAGGATGGGGCTCTCGAGTTGTGCTTTGAAGGAAGATGAGAATTCCAAAAAGCTGATGTGGGGAAGAAGTGTTTTCCACAGGAAAGAAGGCACAGGAGACCACTTATGCAAGGGTATGGAAGGTGGAGAAAGCCCATCTCTGACATCCCGGTAAGGGATAAAAGTTCTTGTTAACTCAGCAAAACGCATGGTCCAGAGAAGCAGGTGGATCTATTCAGAAGGCAAACTGTTGATTATTATTGACCAAGCTGATTCGGACTAAAGCATTTTACTCTGTGCTAGGTACTATATCCTAAGGGATAAACAACCATGTAGGGGCAGCCAGGTGGCGCAGTGGACAGAACACTGGCCCCTGGAGTCAGGAGGACCCGAGTTCAAATCTGGCCTCAGACCAGACACTTGACACTTACTAGCTGTGTGACCCTGGGCAAGTCACTTAACCCCAATTGCCTTAAAAAAAAGAAAAAAAAAGAAACAACTATGTACCTACAAGATAAAACAGGACAAATAAGAATTAATTCCAGAGAGAAGGTGAACTAGCATTGAGGGGGAGTCTTCCAAATGGGAAGAGAAGGAAGCTTAATTAAATAAATGGTAATTATGTATTGCTGAAAGAGAAGAAGCAGAAGGAAATTCTTGCAGGATGCAGTTATTATACCCAGTATAAATGCTATTAAACTGCAGCGAGAGGGCTTACTATTCGGAATTAAATCAGAACATGATTCAATTTTTTTCCTGCCTCGGTAGCTTTAAAGGCTTTGTATAAAGGATGGCAGATTAAGAGCCAAGGAAGTGGGGGCATATAAGAACCTTACTTAAGTAGCGCTGGGAAACTGAAAACTCCGTACTCATCTGGGAATTCCTACAGGCTTTCACCAGCTTTGCCTGAGCAATCAACATAACCATTTCGCCTCTGTCCAAGTGTATCTCAATTTTGGAGTCTTTTACAAGGGGGCTGACATGGCGAATGATCAGAAGAATGAGGAGAGACAAAAACTGAATGATACTCTGGATGCCATCGAGGTAATGAATGCTCCGAAGGGGGAAACATTTCTGTACTGAGAGTGAAACGACTTATGAACACATTTTTTAATAAAGGAAAAGGGGATTGGAAATGAAGTCTGGAGAAAAGACGGCAGGAAATGATGGTCTTGTGGGCAAGGTCTAGAATAGGACAGCTACTCAATTCTGGATTCTGCAAGTTACCCACTCTGTTGCACTGAAGACGCTTCAACGCTAACAGTGAATGTGAAGCAGAAAGACACACCGTTTGGGAGAGAACATCTTAGCTTTAGGTTACATTATTGAGGGGAATGCTATTTATCTCCAACTGTGAAAGGATTCAGAGGTAGGATAGAAAGTAGATGCATTGGGGCTGCTAGGTGGTGCAGTGGATAGAGCACTGGCCTTGGAGTCATGAGGACCTGAGTTCAAGTCCAACCTCAGACACAATACTTACTAGCTGTGTGATCCTGGGCAAGTCACTTAACGCCAGTTGCCTCAGGGGGGAAAAAAAAGAAAGTGGATGCATTTTGGTAAGAGTAATGAGTGATCGTAGCCCTAGGCGGGCAATCAGTTGATCTCTCTGGGCTTTGGTTTTTTCATTTATAAAATAAAGGGTACAACCAGATAACCTGGGTCTTCCCCAAGTTTAAAATTACTCTTATGATCAGTATCTAGGAGGGGGTAGTATAAATATGTATTTCTGAAGAACTTAGGGAAGATCTAGGCTTCTGATGCTGGTTTAACTTGTTATATAATCAGCCTAAGCGTTTGGTAGACAAACATCCCCAAATGCCTAAAAACGTTCTGCATATGCAACAATGTAGGCTGTTCACTTCACAATGGTGAAAAACATCTGCCCAGCGTATAAGCTACATTAGACAGCTTGGATTACTGCTGGGGTCCACCTACAGGAACCATCCTTTACCTTCTTTCATCTTTTTCCTTAGGAGAGTACACACAAGGTCCAGATGAATATCTTCCACATGTGGAGGTACTACAACTTTGCCCGCATGAGGAAAGGGTCTGACTTTTTCACTCTCCAATCAAACTATAACTACGTGAACTGGTGGTCAACAGCCCAGAGTATAGTTATTGTCCTTTCTGGGATCCTGCAGTTGTATTTCCTGAAGCGTCTCTTCAATGCCCCCCAAGTCACAGACACGAGGAAGCCAAGATGTTAAAGGCAAGACAAGTCCTAATCCCTCCCACTCCCCTTTTTTTCCCCAAAGCTCATCAAATCAGTTTTATGAAAGCGTTACAGAAATTAACCATCCACACCAAATTTTTAAAAAATCATTGTCATCACTCACAAAGGACCAGGAGCAGCAGTAAAAATAACTAAATTCAGAATTATTACTTGGCTTTAAGCGAGTCCATGACAAGTCCTTAAAAAGCTTGCTCTAAATGGTGCTAATAACTATTCCCCTAAATTCTACCAACCATATTTATCTAGAGCCTAAAGGAGTTGGGGGATGGAGAGGTGGGTTGCTAAAGGAAAGAAAAATCTTAAAACAGGAAAGAAAGCTAGGGATGTATGAGAACAAGAGCTGGAAGATGGATCACAGCCAATATTAAGTAAAAATAAATAAAGACCTTATCAATGTTGGAAACCATTTTGTACTTCTATAAATTACATCTTCTGAATTAAAGATAAGTAGACTTGCAAAGCAATAATCTGTCTAAAATGTAAGCCAGCCCTTCTGTGGCTTTATATAAATTAAGTACTCTAGAAAAAAAATCACCAAATCCTTTGGATGAAGGGGACAGATGAGTGGATATGAATTATGAATTTCAGAGCCTGTATCAAAGGCCTTTTGTTCAGCTTAGTGAAGCAGTGGAAAAGAATTTTTTTAAAATGTAGCTGGAATAAAGTCTTGGTTGGTACAGTAAGGTGATAAGACCTATATTTAGCCAAACTACTATTGTTGTTGGCATTCTAAAGGTAAAACAATCAGAAGTAGAATCCCTCTACAGGTTCATCATCTGTTTGGCCCTTGGCTTCAAAAAAGTCTGCTGGACGGAAAGACAAGTATCTTTCTTTCCCTGTTTTCAATACCCAAATGGAGTCTACCTTGCCAGTAACACATCAGTTTAATAGAGAGATTACACCTGGTTTCAACAAACTCCTAATCTTATCAGTAGGGCTTATCATTTCCATATAAACAATGATCAGTAGGATACTGTAGGAGCAACACCAGAAAAGAAACCATGGAAAAGAGACTGAAAAATAAATGTGAATTCTGCACAATCACCTTTCTCAGTATGACACCCTGGTGTCCTTATTACACTCTGGTCACAATCTGTACGTAAAACTGAGGGAAATACAAAATACCTGTTTTGTCCCATGCCACTGAATTGACGTAAGAACAGACAGCTGAGTGTTCAATAACCATCTGCTTACATAAGAGCTACAAGAAACAGCTATATTTGTCCTCAGTTCTAAAAAATATCAGGGCCTATACCAAGGAGCAAGAAGTGACTTCATTCTGTATAAAACATGGTATTCAATTTAATCAGTATTAAACAAAAGAGGTTCAAATATCTCATTTTCTTGTTAAACAAGTGCTCACCCTGCAATTGTTTACAACGAAAGCTTAAGACTTCCCCCCCACTTTTGCCCCAAGTACTTTATCTCCAATTTGATCCTCACAACAACCAGGTGAATCCAGTGAAGTACTGCATGGGATCACCCAGCTGCTAAGTGTCAGAGATGACAATCATTCAAGGCTTATTAAGCGCCTACTATGTGCCAGGCACTATGCCAAGCAGCAGATTCAAGCCCCGGTCTTCCAACTTCCGAGTACAGTATTTGATGCACTAGGCCCCAGTGCCCCTGCAATAGTAAGAATGGCCAACTGAAAACCAAGTGCATCCACAAGTCATGGCATAGGTCACTAAGAGGGTGGATTGGTAGTTCAGCCACTCCCACAGGAAAAAAATCCTGGTCACAAGTCCATAAGAGGAATTAAATCAGTGTGTCTTCATGACGCACGTATTCCCCAATGTCGGCTTGGTGAAACACAACAATTGCCATGGGGTCCACCTTCCTGCAGTCCTGCGTGGACTTGGCTGCCACACCAAAACCCTGGAGATTCAACAGAAAGGACAAGGATTCATGAGGCGCTGCATTCTATTCACCCCGGCACGTTCCATGGCCCAGTGATTTTCATTAATGTGAGGACGCCCTCTGAAAGGTATTCTCCCAGACACCATCCTCTACATTCAGTGCTTTTATGAACTGCTCTGACCAAAAAGTCCCCATCCCACCCCAACTGATAGCCCTGAACAAGGCTGGTCCTCAGACAGTCTGCTGGTGGGGCCATATCTGAAGCCTTTCTAAGAGTGGCAAAACCTGCCAGAAATTATGCTTCTCTGACATAGTCTTTGGGAACCCAGGGTGACCTCTACATCACAAGGAAGGATTACTGCAGTACCTCGGTGGAAGGTAGTTCCCAAATGCTGGCATTGCCTTTGCCTCACGTGAAAACCTAGCCAGTACTATAAGACAAAACCCCTAAATTTTCTTTGAATGCATAAAGGGTATAATTTTTTTTCTCTAAAAAGAACTAATGCATCTACTACTTCTACTCACCAAAGGGACATCTGCCATGGAGTACACCACCAGTCCCTGATACTGATTAGTATTTTCTGTGATTCGACCCAGGCCAGACTTTAACACATGGTTCCCATACAAGAATGATTGCTCTGCTCCAGGTTTCACCCATACTTTATGCTACAAAAAAGAATATTCATCTAAATGAGACATCAAATTAGTATTTATATTTACATCCCAATAGTTGAACCATTTGCTAGCTCTTGGGTTATTTTTCTCTTGAAGGAATTTTAAAAAGAAAGACAGGTACAGAGTACAGTGAAGAAGGAAGTGAAAGTCCCTACACACTGTTAATTTCCTCCTGTTTCACAGGGATTAGTAATGAGAAAATACTTTCCTTGGTCATGAGGCCAAATGGTAACAGAACTTCTAAAAACCTTGTAAAAAAGATACGTCCACTGAACAATGCTCACTCCATCTGAATCTCCAAGGAGTCAAATCTTCTTCTGACCTCAGTAAGAGAAGGTCAAAAAGTACTTAAAATCTTTGATGAAGACACTCTGAGGTACAAAGGCAATTGAGGCAGCCACAAAGATAATACCAACTGCCAACAGGGGTCAGTGGTCTCTCAATGACCAAAGACACGCCTTACAACCAGAGCAGCTTTTTATAAAGTTTGGTGGTTGCATGAGCTCCAGCGCTGCAAACTAAATTAAGACTACAATTAGTCTACAACAAAGGCAAAGGGTGGACTACACAACACAATCACTGGCAAGAGGAGTCTCCAGATTTGGGCAAAAGGGAAAATACAGAGTTAGTCAACATCCTCTGCAAAGTCCCATGACAGATACCATCTCCCACACCGGTGAGACTCAGTGCTAAGAAAAACATCTCCCAACCAGTCTGAATCTGAATCATCCACCTTCCTTATCTCCCTCAGAAGAATGGACCAGCTTGCAGCCTTAAGATCTGGTACATAAGCTCTTACAAACTCTACTTCTCAAGGCCTACCGTATTTAACTCAAATAGGATTCACAGATACTAGTTTCACTAATTAACTAAAAACTCTTAACAATCAAGCAGTAATCAATAACCAATTTCATACCAAAAGCTATCTTTCCTTCTCCTACTGTAGAATTTAAATTTTATGAGTACATTAGAGATCATCTACTCCCACCCCCTTGTTTTATAGCCTAAGGAAAGCTGAGATTCACATGCAGTTCTGCCAAAGCCATAACCAAAGCATTTCACAGTATACTGGGATGGCCAGAGCCACTGATGTGGTTCAATCCTGGACACTTAAGACCTCCTGCAGACTGCTGAAAACAATTTCCTCAGCACTGAAACAACTGCCTACCTTTGCATAGGGTGCCAGGTAATCCAGGGCAGTGATGTGCAATCTGAACTTCTGGGTCTTAGTGAACTTCCCAAAGCAGGTCCCCAGAGACACCAGCTTCTCCCGGGAGATATTCACTGCCAGCTTCAGAATCTTCTCGCTGCCGGGAAATGGAGACAAATACAGGTGGCATAAGCAGCGCTCTCAGGTTCTCTCAGTCTCCCAAACACCCACCCACCAGAGCTCCAGCCCAATCCAGAAACGCTCACCTTACATAGTAGACTCTGTCTTTATGGAGTCGGAAACAGTAGGTGCCATCGGGTCGGTCCACAAGCAACTGAATGTTTTCTCCAATACTGCAAACACAAAGGGAACCACAGATTTAGGACCAGAAGGGATCGCAGGATCGTTGAGTCAAACTCCCCTTGTTTTATAGATGATGAAATTGAGGCCCATAAGGATCAAGTGACATGCCTGTACAAACACTTGCCCAGCTAGTGTTTGAGACAGGGCTCGAAACCAGGTCTTCTGACTCCTAGCACAACAGTCCAGGCACCCTGTGTCTCTCAGCAGAACTCCCTTTCGTTTTACAGTCAATCTATCAATTAATCAACATTCATTAAGTGCCTACTATGTGCCAGGCATGTGCTAAGCGCTGGGGACACAAAGAAAAGAAAGACAACGCCTGCCCTCAAAGGGCTTACCATCTAGCTCACAGATACGGAAAACGAGGCCCAGAGCTTACCAGGCGTCACCCGGCTGGGGGGCAGGCTCGGCTCTCGGGGCTTCCCGCTTCCACGCGCCCCGAACCCACGTGTCCCCTCCCCTAACCTTCGGCCCGGGTCTGGCCCAGCCCTCCCGGGAGCCCCCAAGCTCCCGCTCTCCCTCGTTCCCCCTCTTTCCCCCAGTCCTCACTATTTCGAGAGCTTTTGGAACAAGGTGCTGGTCTCCTCTTCGGTCAGGGGTCGCATTTTGCAGCAAAGCAAACCCAGAGCCGCACGCCTTAGACCTCCGGAAGCGGAAGTAACTCCTCTTCTCCGCCCACATTTTCATTGGCTGCTCACGTTAGCTCCTCCCTCCTTTGCCAAGATTTCCCGGCCGACCTCCACCACGGACCATAGAGGCTGGGAGGTCTTTCCTAGATGGGCACCGAGCTCCGCGGAGAAACCAAAGGGCCTCCCGGAAGGGACATTCATTCCCAGGCGGCTCAGCACTTCCGCCGGGGCGGGCGGAGGACCCGGAAGCGCCAACATGGCCGCGGTGGCGGCCGGCGGGGCGGCGGCGGCGGCGGCGCTGGGCGAGGTGGAGGATGAAGGGCTCCTGGCCTCGCTGTTCCGAGACCGGTTCCCGGAGGGCCAGTGGCGCGAGCGGCCTGACGTGGGGCGCTACCTGCGCGAGCTGAGCGGCTCGGGGCTGGAGCGGCTGCGGCGGGAGCCCGAGCGGCTGGCGGAGGAGCGGGCGCAGCTGCTGCAGCAGACGCGGGACTTGGCCTTCGCCAACTACAAGACGTTCATCCGCGGCGCAGAGTGCACCGAGCGCATCCACCGCCTCTTCGGGGACGTGGAGGCCGCCCTGGGCCACCTGCTGGGCCGCCTGCCCAGCTTCCAGCAGAGCTGCCGGTGCGGGCCCCGCGAGGGAGAGGGGAGCCCCGGCTACCCCTTACCGCTGCCCGCCTCGGTGCCTCCCTGTAAAACGGGGGGTGCAGCCCCTCCTCCCAGAGTGGCTGCGAGCATCCCATGAGATGACGTTTGTAAAGCGCCTGCAACCCCGAAAGCGCTGTGCAAATGCTAGCGTTCGTTATTTTTTCAAAATGTTAAATAATAACAAATCCCAGAGCTGACGCTCACTCCTTGGGAACAAGTCTCTAAACAGTTCTCAGCCACATGTTTCCTCCTCTGTAAAATGTGGGTATCGGGACTAGATAGATGATCCTTAGCAGCCTTCCAGCTCGTAAGTTCTATAAATAGGAACAACTGAATGAGTGAATGAAGCGTTTATCAAGGGCAAAGCATTATGCTTTGTTTCAGCAGGATTTGAGAAATGAAATGCATTGTTTATTGCAGTGACTCGGACCAAAGTTATGATGTTGGTCATGATAATGGCTGCAATTTCTCTATCGCTTTAAGGCTGCATTAAAGCACTGGCCCTGCAGTAAGTTTGTGAAGGAGGTAATGCAAGGATTGTTTGCTCTGTTTTACAGATGAGGAAAGGTAGGCTAGGAAAGGTGATGATTTGTCCAGCATCACTGAGTAAATATTTTAGTTGGCATTTGAATCCCAGCCTCCTGATTCCAACAGGCAAGCCTTTTTCTGCTACACTGTGCTGGCACTTCTGTTGGACGTGAATAGAAAATCTCTCTGGTTCTTTGGCCTGAACTTGGGTGAAAATGTGAGATAATTGGACTCAAGCTTTGGACTCATGTATTTATCCCTTCATTTGCAATAGGAACTTTGTGAAGGATGCTGAAGAGATTGGTTCTAACCGCCATATGAATACCCTGACCCTGAACCGGCACACAGAGATCTTGGAAATCTTGGAAATCCCTCAGTTAATGGACACCTGTGTTCGAAATAGCTACTATGAGGAGGCTCTTGAGCTTGCAGCCTATGTGCGCAGACTGGAAAGAAAATATTCTACCATCCCTGTTATCCAGGTATCACCACTGTTGTTTTAAGCTTGCCACATTGGGTCTCAGGTCTCTGGTGTTTTCCCTGCTACCTAACCATGCGTAGAAATGTTATATGGCAACCCCTTACTGTATTTACTTTATTATATGTTATTGTAATTATATATTATTGTGAGAAATAATCTGGAGCATAAATTGAAACTTGGCTTTGCTGGCAATCTACAAAATAGTTCTTCAGAAAATTTAGCTTCATAATTCTGTAAAGCGTAGGAATCAGTCAACAAACCCCTATTGTTAGGCCCTTGGGCAGATAAAAAGGTTAGTTAAGACACAAGTCCTACTCTCAAGGTGCTCACATAAGATACCAATGAGAAAACTCTTGTAGACAATATTACAAAATACATTATTAGGGAATTAGGAAGCAAGAGGCCTTGTCAGGTCTGAGGGAGAAGATTGTAATTCACCTGGGAAATCAGAAGGCTTCTTGAAGGGAGGGGGCATTGGACTTGAGTTTTAAACCATGGAGTAGTATAGATTACGGTCCAGCAGACGTGACTGCACTCCAGGCATGGAAGGCCACCTGAACCAGGGCTCAGACATGGGTACACCATGTTTGTTCAGGCAGCAAAGCATTTTCTTATTTGGCTGGAACAAAGAGCTTGTGGATGCTTGGAAGATGGGGTGGTGCCAGGTTGTGGAGACCTTTGAATGCCAGGTGAAGATGTTTGATAAAATGAGTTAGAAAACATCTTTCCAACTTTGGTGTAGTCATGCTTTGTGTGTTGGAGGTAGTGTGGTGTAACGGATAGAGATCCAGCCTTGGAGTCTGAAAACCTTCTCTCTGACTCATCCTGGCTGTATGACCTCTATACAACTCATTTAACGTCTCAGTGCCCCAGGCCACCCACTAACATTATCATGTGCAGAGTTAGGAGCCAATCTTTGTTGCTAGAAAAAGATTTTTAATGGCAGTTCCCCATACTAATGAAGTCACACATGTCCAGTCTTTTAAAAAACAAACCTAACGTTTTTCCGCTAACCACTTCTGCTACAATTTGCAGGGCATTGTGAATGAGGTCCGTCAGTCTATGCAATTGATGCTCAGCCAGTTGATCCAGCAACTCCGAACCAACATCCAGCTCCCTGCCTGTCTTCGAGTTATTGGCTATCTTCGTCGAATGGACATTTTCACAGAGGCTGAGTTGCGAATCAAGTTCTTACAGGCCCGAGATGCATGGCTGCGTTCCATCCTGACCTCCATTCCCAATGAGGATCCTTATTTTCACATTACCAAGACCATCGAGGCATGTCGTGTCCACCTTTTTGACATCATCACACAGTACCGTGCCATATTCTCTGATGAGGACCCGTTGCTGCCGCTGGCTACTGGTGAGCCCTCAGTGAATGAGAGCGCCATCTTCCACGGCTGGGTCTTGCAGAAGGTCTCTCAGTTCCTGCAGGTGTTGGAGAGTGACCTTCAGCGTGGTGGCAGTGGCCGCCTGGACTCGCTGCTCGGCCAGTGTATGTACTTTGGGCTCTCCTTCAGCCGAGTAGGGGCTGATTTTCGGGGCCAACTTGCCCCTGTGTTCCAGCAGGTTGCTTTGAATACTTTCAAGAAAGCAGTTCAGGAAGGTGTGGAGAAATTTCAGGATGAAATGAATTCCTATACTCTTATTTCTGCTCCTGCTGCACTGCGGAGTGCAATTCCTGCTGCCGTTCCTGTGACTCAGCCTGGAACCTTGCAACCCCCCATGGGACTGCTGGACTTCCCACCACTGGCTTGTTTCCTCAACAACATTCTGGTTGCATTCAATGATTTGCGTCTCTGTTGTCCTGTGGCTCTGGCTCAGGATGTGACTGCCTCTTTAGAGGATGCCCTTGGCAAGGTGGGGAAATGCCAAGAGTCATGGTGGAATCCTGCTTTTTAGGGATGAGTTGGAAGGTTTAGCAAGCCTCTCCCTCCCTCTCCCATTTTGACATTCCCCTTCTCCCAATCATATTTTATTTGTAGATAATGGCTTTATCAAACAGTCATGTGCAAGATCCTAGGTGAGAAGCTCTAGCTACTGTGGACTAGAGGAGGTTCTGAACTGTTGTACTGACTCCTGGTTGGATACTAATTTTCTTATTATGGTGGTACTATTTCTTAGCACTCTCCTCTTTTTTATACATACTTTCCTAGGACTGTAATCTTCATTTTTCTTACCCTCTTGTTTCACTGTTGGTTTTTCCCTTTGCTCTCAGAGTGTGAGTAAGCATTCCAGAGCCAGACCTAGGGTAGTGAATTATGGGTAAAAATAAGCTTTTCCCTTGGCTACAGTGAACAGGACTTAGAGCTTGGCTGGTGTCTGTCTTAGCCAGGTGGAACCATAGATTCAGCCCCTGGAGCCAAGTGTGGTGAGGAGAGAGGCGGGATATTTTGCCACGTCTCTGTCTCTCTTCTCTGAAGTTTCCTGGACTTGCTGTTGCCTCAAAGAGCAAAACTCAGTAGGAGACGTGTTTTATTCCTTACTTCCTTTTTTGGGTCCATCACAGTTTGGGCTTATTCTTATGTTGGAAATAAGTCATTTTCTATGTTGTCTGCACACCTGTTGCATTGGTATTGGTTTCTCTGGCATTTAATACTGTGCTGCTAAGAACTACACCAGCAGTCAGCAAGCAGAGATGGCTGTGAAGGTGGGCTGGTTTCAGGAGCTTGATGATTTGGAGCTTGAATATTAAATGCGATGAATTGGCTTTTTAAGGTATTTTTCTGTCTAAAAGTTCTGTCTGTTGTGTTGTACATAGCACAGCAACTTATAGTACTTGGAGAATGTGCCTCATGGGACTAAAGACAGTTTTGGGGTTTGTTTGTGTTTTTTTTTAGGTGACAAAAATAATATTGGCCTTTCACCGGGCAGAAGAGGCAGCGTTCAGTAGCCGGGAACAAGAGCTCTTTATCCAGTTCTGCACTGTTTTCCTGGAAGACTTGGTCCCTTACCTAAATCGCTGTCTCCAGGTCCTCTTCCCGCCAGCCCAGATAGCACAGATTTTGGGTAGGAGATTGAGAACAATACTTTTCCGTACTTGACCTTTTTGTTTTTGTTTATTCCTCATATTCTTATCTGAAGAACAGGATCCATCTCTGCTGAGAGTGACAAGCATCCACTAGCAACGTCAAGACCGGCATGTCTCACTGTTCACTTTGTCCTCGTAATCACTTCAGTCTTTCCATGGGCATGCTCGTTGGCTGTAGTGACTTAATGGTTGATCCAGCTCTGCCGGAGTTGTTCCTTATTTGTAGCCCAGTGGTCATTCTTGAATTCTCATTGCATAGCATGCTTTTTGTTATATGGTAACCATGTAGGCAGAGTGAGCGAGCATTTATGAAGCTCTTATCATGTGCTAGGATTACACATACAACCAAAAAGACAGTCCCTGTCCTCAAGGAGCTTACATTTTAACAGAGAAACACAGCGGTGGGGTGGGGGTCAGGAGAAGTGGAGAAATCATCAGTCGGTTCATGGGCTGGTTCAGGTTTGATGAGAGCATGGCTGACATGGGTGCTCACTCAGATGGAGAATCTGGGAAGGAACCTGCCGCTGGGAAGAGGAGGAGACTGAGGGTGGAGAATTGCCAGTGTCAGAAGGCCGATGTGTCTCTAATGTTGTTAAATCATGTATCTTACTGCTTCTCTGTGGGCAGACATTGAGTAATTTGCCTCTTTTCTCTTTTTTTTCCCTGCTTTTCCCACTTCCCTAACCTTTTGAACCCAGGCATTCCACCCACTCAGCTCTCCAAGTTCAGAAACCTTGGACATGTAAATATCCAAGTCATCCAGGAGCCCTTGGCTTTTATCTTGCCAAAGAGAGAGGCAGTTTTCCTATTGGATGAGAAAGGACTGGAAGAAGAGATCATAGCTCCAGCTCTAGAACTTACAGAACAGGAACTCGGTCTGGCATCTGCTCCTGAAACTTCCCTAGAGAATACAGAAGAAGAAAGTGCCCTGGGGGACCCTTTGCCATCTGACACTCCTTCGACTGGGACCTAGTGCAAGGGTGGCTAGTGCTTGCTTACTCCTTAAACATCTGCACAGTTTCAGACCTGTGCCTCCTGGAATCAGTAATTTCTTGACTGGATGCACATTTGCAAGACCCAGTACTGTCTCCAAGTTCTGTTTGACACTGTCCTACCACTTGAACCCTTTTACCCAGAATCTGGGTGGGCCTATATTATATGAAGGGATTTTGTAGGAAGAAGGTTTGTTAATGGTGCTGTGGTCTGACCACATTGACTTCTTATGATTGAATTTATGCTTAGGAGGCCTGTGGCCTTTTTTCTGAGACTCTCTCTGAGGAAGTGACATAGCAGTACACATATACAGAAAGGAAGTTGTGGAGTAACATTTTGGGTTTGAAAATGGATTGGGTGGCATATAAAGATATATAACAATAAATAAAAAATATTTTAGCCATGATGACTGACTTATTCGATATACCTTTGTCGCTCTTACTACTAATAGCTAACCTCAGTATAGTGCTTAGAGGTTTGCAAAGTGCTTTACATATATCACTTGAAATATCATTTGATCTTCATAATATCCCTGTGGGCTAGATGGTGTGACTTTCCCCATTTTGCAACCGAGGAAAGGTTCCAGACTTAGGGTCACTTCAGTGAGTAAATGTCTGAGTTGGGCCTTCTTGACTGTAAGTTCCACCCTCCGTCCACTAAGACCCACAGCCACTCTTTCATCTTATGTGAATAACTGTAAAAGGAGGAGGACTAGGTCAGGGATTGTTAACCTTTTTTGTGTATGTTCTAGCTCTTTGGCAGTCAGAATACTCTTTTAAATGTATAAAAAAAATGCATAGGACTACAATTATATTTAAGTATAGTTACTAAAATGTTTTTTAAAAACAAGGGTACACAAACAACCAATTCAGCCAAAATGAGAAGGAATGCAGAAAACCGGGAAAACATTTTACCAAAGTTCTTTGATAAAGGTCTCTTCCCTAGTATACAGGGAAATGAGCCAAATTGATTTTTTTTAAAAAGCCATTCCCCAACTGATTAAAGGTTAAGGAATATGAACAGGCAGTTTTCAGAAGAAATCAAAGCTATTGATAATCTCATGAAAAAATGTTCTAACTCATGAATAATTAGAGAAATATAAAACTAAGGTACCATCTCACATTCATCAGATTAGATAACATGACAGGAAAGGAAAATGACAAATGCTAGAGGGGAATACGGAAAAACAGGTACATCTCAGTGGATAGAACACTGAGCCTGGAGTCAAGAAGACGAGTTCAAATCCAGCCTCAGCTACTTCCTAGCTGTATGACCCTGAGCAAGTCACTTAACCTTGTTTGCCTCAGTTTCCTCATCTATAAAATGAGCTGAAGAAGGAAATGACAAACCACATCAATTTCTTTGCCAAGAAAACTTCAAAGGACGTCCAAAAAATCAGACACAACTTAATAACAATGAACTGTTGGTGGAGCTGTGAATCTATAACCAAACAGCTGTCAAACTGCATACCTTTTGACCCTACAACAATGCTACTAGGTCTGTATCCCAAAGAGCTCCAAAAAAGGAAGTGAAAGGACCTAAACGTACATATAGCAGCTCTTTTTGTGGTGGCAAATAATTGGAAATTGAGGAGATGTCCATTCATTGGGAATGGCTGAACGAGTTGTGGTATATACTCTGATGAATTACTGTTTTCTTATAAGAAATGGAGCAAGAAACTGTTGAAGAAAAATCTGGAAAGCTTTATAGGACCTGGTGCAAAGTGAAATGAGCAGAACCAGGAGGACCTTGTACCCGTAGATACTCTGCTTAAGACAAGGACCCAAGACAATTCCAGAGTACCCATGGTGAACAATGCTACCCACCTCCAAGAAAACAAGGGCCGATTGAAGCATACGTTTTCATTTGGGGGGGGGGGCAGGGGGCAACATGGCTAATATGAAACTATGTTTTACATGACTTTAGGTATATAATTGATATCATGTTGCTTGCCTTCTCAAAGGGTAGGGCAAGCAGGAGGGAGGGGAAGAATTTGTAACTTAAAATTAAAAAAAACCCAGAATGTTGACAATAACAAACCAAAGTGAAAAAATAAAACACAAGTGCACAGATGCCAGGTTGAAGAACCCTAACCTAGGGCTGACTCCAAGTCCTCCCAACAGGCCCTCCGCACGGAGGACTTCCCAGCCCAGCAGGCGGTTGGGAACTACAAACTTCCAGCGTCCTTAGCGGCGGAAGCGGAAGTGGCGTTCCCGGGAGGCCAGCGTTCTGATGGCCATGGGGCGGCCGTGGGAGAAGCTGCTAGCCGTGGCGCGGGGCTGCGGCAGCGCGGGGCCGTGGGTCGCGGGCTCCGCGCCTCCCGTCGTAGGCCCCAAGCTGCGCCGCCCGTGGGCCCGTACCTTGCGTCGCTGGCTGCTGCGGCCGCCCGAGCCGCCGTACAGACACGTGTGCCAGGTGGGCGAGCCGGCGCTGCGGGCCGTGGCGGTGCCCGTGGACGCAGCGCGGCTGGCGGGGCCCGAGGCGCAGGCGCTGATCGCGCGACTGGTGCACGTGATGCGCGCGCAGGGCGCCGTGGGGCTGAGCGCTCCGCAGCTTGGTGTGCCGCTGCAGGTGCTGGCCGTGGAGTTCCCCGAGCGCCTGCTCGCCAGCTACCCGCCCGCCGTGCGAGAGGCCCGCCGCATGGCCCCCTGCCCGCTGCGCGTGCTCGTCAACCCGCGCGTGCGCGTGCTCGACGCCAGCCTCGACACCTTCCCCGAGGGCTGCCTCAGCGTGGCTGGCTTCCTGGCGTGCGTGCCACGCTGCCGGGCGGTGCAGGTCGAAGGTGCGGGCTGGGCTGCGGGGGTGGAGGGGCGTACCGAGAGAGAGAGGGAGAGGGAGAGGGAGAGACAGGCGTTGAGGATGCAGAGAGACAGCTGGGGAGGAAGAAAGGAGAAGAGCATCTGTGAAGTGCCTACTGTGTGCAGGGTGCTGAGAATGCAGAGAGACAGGTGGGGAGGAAGAGAGGAGCATCCATGAAGCGCCTACTGGGTGCTGCACTGTCACTGTGCTAAGCTCTCAGAAGGGCAAAAGAGAGCCCCTGCAACCCGGAGCTCACAGTCGAATGGGAGAGACAACGGGCCAATAACTACGTACACACAAGATACAGACAGGATGACTTGGGGGTAGTCTCAGAAGGAAGGCACAAAGATTAAGGGGGACCCAGAAGACGCTTCTTGCAGAAGGTGGGATTTTAGCTGGTACTTGAAAGAAGCCAGGAGGGAGAGATGAGGAGGGAGAGGGTTCCAGGCAGGGAAGACAGTTCCTATGGTTGATATTTCTTGGGCTTGGGTCCGATGGGTACGGTTTCTCAAGTCTTAAGGGTCATTGAACCTTGTGATCGTTCAGTGGAGTACAGAACCAGAGGTAGTATGGCAGGAACAGGAGTGCAGTACCTGGTTTGGTTCACTTGACAGTTACAAGGAACAGGGATTGAGAGCATGTCAAGAGATGTGATGGATAGCTTTAGGCTGCAGCATGTTGGCTCTCAGGTCTCTGGGAAAGAGGGGAAGGTCCAATAGATCTAAATAGTTATTGATTAATATGAAAATCATAAATCCCTCAGGGAACACCTGGTACTAGTCAAAGAATATACTTTGCCAGAGGGTAAGATCATCCAGAGCACAAAGGAGTGTTGTTATGCCAAGCTCAGGGCACAGCCTGCTTGCTGAGCCTTAGTTCTGAGAAACAGGATGTCTCCAAAGAGCTTGACACTTGATTGGTATGATGAAAAACACAATTGTTTAGCACCCACACACTAGCATGGATTAATTTAGCAGATTAGCATGCTCTCACCTAGGAGAACCGGAAGGATAGGATGCTGGACAGGTACATTTTGGTGGGGAGAAAGGGTTGGGAAAGAGCCACCCACCCTTAGATGCTGCCCAGAAGGGAAGGTGGACAGAGGGCTACCCTGAGTACTTGAGACCAGAGGGTCTTCAAATTTTCTTAATCATGTACGCCTTCAGATCTTTTGAACATATCCCTCCAGTGTGTCTTTTGCTTATTTATACATGACATCCCTGTACTAAGGGGCAGTGTAATGTGGCTGGAGAGCTGACCTTGGAGCCAGGAAGCTCTGGGTTCATGTCCTGGCCCTGGGACCCTGGACACATTTTACATCTGAGCTCTGCCTAGGACAGCAGGTGGCAGAGAAGATGTCCTCCCCCTTGAGAGAGAGAGCTAGCTTCCTGTTCTGGGGAGAGCACAGGTGCGGGGCATGGCCCTGCTGCTGCGCTAATGGAATGGACTTTATAAAACAAAAAGTAGAAATTTTTAAAAATGAGATGACAGCTAGACTTTCTAGAGCACTTTAAGGCTGAGGAAGCACTTCACATCTGTGATTTCATTTGATTCTCTATGTGAGGTAGGAGCAATTATTCCCATTAATTCCCATTTATCGAATGAGATAACCCTCATATAGTGCACTGCAGCTCTTAAAGTGGTTTATAAATGCTTGTTATTATTAATTATTTATTGGAACAGGCAGATAAGTGACTTGCCCTGGGTCACATAGTTACTAAGTGACTGAGGCTGGAGTTAGCCTCAGATTTTTCCTGACCCAGGCCCAGCGCTTTGTCCGCTGGTCCATTAAACTGATGAAATGTCAGAGTCAAAAGGAAGGGCATTGATGCTTAGGGAGTAGGAGAGGAACATGATTCATCCAGCACCTTAGGAAAATCACCAGCTGCTTTGGAGAAGGGGGTAGCGGTGGCCGCAGCAGCCATGTTGGTAAAGAGAAGGGGGCAGATGTGAAGGGATGAGGAGGCAGAGATTTGGCAACTGATCAGATACGTGAATATGAGGTTAATGAAAGTGAGGAGCCAGAGATGACCCCGAGATTGTGAAAACCTGGGTCACTGGAAGGATAGTGGTGCCCTCAACAGTATCAGGAAAGTTTGGAAGATGAGTAGGCTTGAGGAGAAGATAATATAATGATATCTGCAGTCCATCCATGCTAGGGTAGCAGCTAGGTGTCGCAGTGGACAGAGCGCTGGACTTGGAGTCAGGAAGACGTGAGTTCAGATGCGGCCTCAGAAACTTATTAGCTGTGACACTAGGAAAGTCACTTAATTTCTATCTCGGTTTCCTCATCTGTAAAATGGAGAAAATAGTAGTTGGGAAGGTCAAATGAGATAACATACACAAACCTTAAAGCGCTGTATAAAACCACTGTGACTCACTCCTTGCCCCAAATTAAAAGGAGGTTGGTGGAGTCCTTGCCCAAGCCAGGAGATGACCGGTGAGGCAGGAGTTAAAACCAGAATTTTTGCAGAATGCCATGCAGCTGCTGTGGGTAGTGGCCACACTGATTCTTTTGCGTGCACAACAGAAGGAGGGGGAGGTACTTTGGGGAATAAGGCTAAGTGTGGTGACAAGCCCCGCAATTGGCTAATGGTGAACTGGGACCTCTCTTCTCAGCCTCTGTTTGGGTGATCGCACGTTCCTTATGGTCAGGCACAGCCCCACTTGGGAGACCACTGCTTTGGACAGCCAGAGGCATACCATGCAGCACCTGGAAAAAGAGAAGAGAAAGAGGAAGGGCGGTCACTCACCAAAGACGAAGGGTTCAGCCTGCTCCCTTTTGTGTGTCCTTAACAACATATCATCTGCATGTGCTGCTTTCCCAACTCTGAATACAGTCTTTGTGTTCTTGGATTAATGGGGTACAGCTCACATGTGGGGAAAATATCCACACACTCTGCACTATTTCAGGCTTTACCTGTTGTTTAGGGCCCTGAGCTGAGCTCAGACAAAAGGACATTGGATAGGATGAAGTCTTGGACCTATCTTGAACAAACCACTCAATCACAGTGGGTCAGAAGGTGGAAGTAAAGGAAAACAGCATTTATCTTTACAGGGTTCTGTAGCATTATTAGTTGGCTAGTGTACCTGCCTTAAGGTTAGAATGTTGGGGTGTTGGTAGCTAAGTAGACATAGGTAGGCTGGAGGAGGAAGAGCAAAAGGAAAGAGAAGCTGCTTGGAAAACGACAGGTAGCTTTTCCACCCCCTAGCTCTGAGTCCACAAACTATCAGAGATGGCAACAGGGCTGAATACTAGGTGAGGGGAAGAATTGCAGCAATTCTGTAGGGGGAATGGGAACCCTCTTTTCTGAATTCCGTTTCTTTATAATGCTACTTACTTAGCAAGGAGAATGTGGGAGAACCTTAACTAGGAGGGAAGAAGGGGGCAGTGAGGATGGGAGATGGAGAATTGCATGGTGCAGTGTTTTCACCAGTGCAATGAATTTCATTGCAGGGTTGAATGAAAATGGAGAATCTGTGGTGTGGCAGGCCAGTGGATGGCTTGCCCGGATTATACAGCATGAGATGGACCACTTGCAAGGCTGTCTCTTCATTGACAAAATGGACAGCAAGACTTTTACAAATGTGCGGTGGATGGAAGTAAATGACTGAAGTCTTCCTCTCCAGAGTGAATTCTGAAAAAGCATCTTCCAGTAGCTGTAACCTTAGGCTGGCCGCGTTTGAAGTTAATGATGTGCTTGGCCTACATTTCGCTGATCACAATGGTTAGAAATTACTGATTCAAAGAACATCTATAATGAAATTAGTGCTCTGGGCAAAATATTTGACCTCCACTTTTGAAAAGGAGTAATTATCGCTTGGAGATACCTAATAAAAGAGGCAATGTATTGTGTATAAAGGGCTCACCTGGCATTAGGAAAACCTGGGTGAGTCTTGGCTCTGAAAGTATAGCAGCTGTTTGACCAGGGATAAGTCACATAAATGCTCAAACAGTTGAAGCTGAGAAACAGACACAATGCACGTAGGCTTTGGTGGAGCTACTTTCCACACTGGGAGTTCCCCAAACATAAAGGTATAATTCCAAACAAGAAAACAAAAAACTTATTGAGTGGACGGTACTTTTTCTGAAGGTTTTCCTGGAAAAGAGCATAAACACACACATACACACACTGCAATTGGCATTGCTCACTGCATGATTTTTACAAGACCTATAAAATCAAAGTCAAAAACTGGTCATAACTGTAAAGAACTGTAAAGCATTTTCCAAATAGCCTGATTTAAATGCCTAACCATTTTAGCTCTCAAGTACTCCTGTTGGTGATCACTCTCGGTCACAGGATTTTAAACTTTTTACATTTACCAGAGGGGCCACCTGGGATGGAAGGAGGAACACAGAATCTCACCAAAGCCTAGTTACCATGAGATCTCCAGAAAAATTTATTTCTTCCTTCACCCAAGTAGAAGTAGAGAAAGAAAATGCAGGAGGATAACAGCACTGCAAAAACAAAGGGTGAGCTCATTGGTTTGGGCATCGTTCTGTAGAGTGGGTTTTTTAGGGTAACTTATGGGCCCCTTCTCAAAATAATGTTTTTTTTTAACAATCACCTCCATACGCTTTTGAGTTTAAAATTTTTCTCCCCCTTCCTCCCCACCACTCCCCAAGACGGTGCACAATCTGATATGGACTATACATATACATTCCTATAAGACATATTTTGACACAGAATAATGTTTTTTAAAACATAGAATACATAGGATTGCAAAAGAAACCAGTTACATTGAAATAGTTATTAAAATTTCTTTAAAAGTTCCTCAACCCCAGGTTGAGAATCTGAGGTGAAGCCACTCCCACTGGCGTGCATTTCTTGTCAGTTGGCCTCCTGAGACAGAGGGATGGGTGCTGGATCCAGGAATTGGGAGACCTGGCCATCCATCCTGGATCTGCCAATTGGTCACCCTCGTTTTTACATTCTAGTTGAAAAAGTTAATTTTTTTTCCAAGAAAAAGGACACTGTCATCTGATTAAGGTTGAACTGCTGGAGTGAAAACTGCAGGAATGTGTCAGAGATGCTAAGCTCCAACTAGAGAATATTTCGCCAGTGGCCCCAACTACGAAGTACTTGGGAGACTCACTCTCATCATCAAACTGTTCAAAGAAATGACAGTGGTCCCTGTCCCATTCAGTCTGACGCTTAATAACAAGCTGCTATTCACACCCACCTTACAAATTTGTGTAGATTCACAATTTAACTGTCCTCCTGTTTCATTAAGTTTTCATCCTTTAACATCAGCCCTAGGATGCCAAAAATCAGAAGCCATCCTTTTTCTGCTTCTCAGCTAGTAGCATCTGGCTTATTCACTGAAGGCAGTTCAGTATTTGAGGATGAGTTGGGGATCGTCCTCTTCTCAACAAGCATGGCTTAATAATGGAGAGAGTGTTTGACTAGCCAGGAGACCACAGTGCAGATCCTAGGTACTACGCAAGTCATTTAACCTCAGAGCCTCAGTTTCCTCATCTGTATAACTTACCTGCCTCGAGATAGTTGTGAGGAAAGTGCTTTGCAAACCTAGTGGCCATAGATGTGAATTATAGAATCTGGACAGGGTCAATAAAGGTCCACGGAGATCAGCACTTCTTACTTTCACACATGTAGCTGTAGCCTTAAGTAAATCTTGGCAAAAGAATCAAATGCTTTATTAGTTATTAGGAATACAGGTATCATTCCAAAACCAGGTTAGGGCCAGTTCTTGCCTCAGTGAGACTAATGACCATAATGGGATCATTTTCCTCGGAACAATATCTTGCAGGGCCACAGAACTCAATGCTTGATCAGCACAGGCCTGAGGTGGGCAGCCAGGTCCTACCTACTGTCTCACGGTTCTTCAGTTTTCACACTGCAAACGTGGTTTATATAAAAAGCTATTATAGGCTGTGGTTCAGCATATACCTATATGACTTGCCTTTCTCCATAGGGTGGGTTTGGCCTACATTCAGGCCTTTGGAGCTTAATGACAGCCAGCCAGTCTGGTCAGGCAGAACTGAATCCCATTTTTCCCACATTGCCTTTCATCCTTTCCCCAAGGAGACTGCTTACCTTAGTTCTTAAGAGTCAGTGGTGACCTTAGTTATTGGCTATCCTTTTCTAGCAGGTGAACACAGCCAACACCCAAGTAAGGAGGGGGAACAGGTTGTATGTGTACTAGGACTTCCCCATAAGACTCTGCCATTCAATGGGAGGTGCCTGTGGAGGGGTGGTCAGGTGGAATAAACTAGGGTGTTGCAGCACAACACTGATTGTGGGAAGAAAGGGAGGTAGAATTTGTAATACTCACTGGAACTTGGTGGGGTCATCATGGCAAGGCTAAGATTGGTAAACTCCAGTGGCCAGTCCAGAGTGTGGTTGGGTAGGATGTGGGGAAAGGGTGTCAGGGTATTTGTTCATCTTTCATACCATTAGGTATGGCCTTGATTTATGACGCTGATATCCAGAGATTTAACATTTCAGAGTTAGTGCTGCTACCAAATTCCAAGGGAGAAAGGATACAATACATAGTCATCACCATAGGACAAAGACACCATCCTCCTTTCCCTTGTAATCATTCCAGTGCTTCTTGCAACAATGGCCTCCATGTCAGCAAGAGAAAATATTCCACTTGCTCGGGTAGTTTTCACCAACTTTGCTTTCTGATTTGACAGAAATCCTAGAAAACGGAAAGTCAGCCCAATGCTCGATGCTCATTTAGAACCAAAGGCATGTGCATGGAAGAGTGGAGACTATAGGAGGAAGAGGCTCTTCAAGTGATGAGTCTGGAGATTTTTTTATGGAATGAAATCTTTTGAATGCAATATCAGATATATTAAAGTGAGTTGGCTAATGGGCAGACCGCTCTCAGCTGTTTCTCAAACATGTTTGAAAGTCAATGTTAGAGGCAGCTAGGTGGCCCAGTGGATAGAGCTTCAGCCTTGGAGTCAGAAGTACCTGAGTTCAGATCCGGCCTCAGGCACATAACACTAGCTGTATGACCCTGGGCAAGACACTTAACCCCAGTTGTCTCACAAAAAAAAAAAGTCAATGTTTAAGTTAAGGATTAAATGCTTACATTAAAGACAGGTAGCAGTGTCCATACCAGCATCCCAAAGAAGCAGTTAAGAGCTGGTGAATAAAATTGTGGCAACCCCAAAGCACCTGTTATAACCACTCAGATTTACGTATGCCTAAGAAATGCTACTGGTTGGGGCAGCTAGGTGGAATGGCTAATAACAATAGAGCACCGGCCCTGAAGTCAGGCATACCTGAGTTCAAATCCAGCCTCAGACCAAACACTTGACACTAGCTGTGTGACCCTGGGCAAGTCACTTAACCCCAATTGCAAAAAAAAAAAAATACGACCAACTCTAAGTCAAAAGCAACGAGGAATCTTCTGACCAAAGAAAGCTACAGTAGGTGGTGACATAAGGAGAAAACTACAGAAAAGGCTTAGAAATATAGCAAATAGAAGTGCAGGTAGTGGACAGGTCTACAGATCTATCTTTTGTCTCAGTATTTACCAAAGTAAACTGGCCATTTAAAAAGCCATTTAAAGAGTTAAGCATTCATTGATAATGGTCAAGGTTATTCCCCTACACTGACAGTCACAGAGCTAAATTCAACCTTAGAGGCCATCTAAGAGTCAAACCAGGATTAAGAACTCCTTTTAACTAACAAACATGTGTTAACAGTAACAAATTACTTTTATTACTCATAATAAATAACTTCAATAGACATAAAATACGCACAAAGAAATATTTGTTAAACTGAATTGTTTAATCTTTCATAAGTGACAGGATGAATCTGCCACTCTGGGAGGCAGTCTTTTCTGATTTTTAGATAGCTCTGCAAAAAAAAGAAAGGATTCTGTTTCTCTCTCACCCCACCGTCTTGTTTTGCCCAAAGGAACCACACAGATCTAAACTGGCTTTTTACCCTAAAAGAGATATCATAGACCCTGAAGGGGTTAATGTTTGTGACATTTTCCTTTTTTCATTATGCAGATTTTAAAGGCATGGTGAAATCCCTTTATATAATATCAAGAGACCAGAATGAGACACCTTACCTTCTAAGACAGCATAGATACCCTGTAAATAAAAACCCAAAACACACTAATACAAGATGATGTGTTCCTGAAATCTGCTGGCTAGAGGCACCTCAGTCCAAGAATACCAAAACCCAAAAACAACCTAAAAAAACCAAATCTGAGAATAACAGATGCTGAAGAATGATTATTACCTCTGAGGCTAGAATGAGCCTCCTAGGGGCAGCCAGGTGGCGCAGTGGATAGAGCACTGGCCCCGGATTCAAAAGGACCTGAGTTCAAATCCCGCCTCAGACACAAAGCAGTCACTAGCTGTGTGACTCTGGGCAAGTCACTTAACCCCACTGCCTAGCCAAAAAAAAAAAAAGAAACTTAGAATGAGCCTCCTAGTATCAATCCCAATGACTCCCACCCTCACCATCCATTTGGCAGAGAATCAATTAGTCAGCAGTTTATTTGCCGGCAGTAAAGGGCAGCTTACCAGGAGCTTCAAGGAAGTGCTAGAGACATGACATCACTCAGGTAGCTCAGGAGGGGGAAAAGGTTTATTAGGCCATTTCCAGGAGAGGGACTCTAAGTGCAGCAACACTGTGCTGTTTCCACAGGCAGAAGGAGGAAAAGGCAGCTGTGAAAATTGGGCCAACAGTCTTCACTACAGACCTAATTTCTTTTGACTTGAATAGCTTTTCATTTGCAGAAGTCATCTCCTCCTCCTGCATAGAAGAAACAAGTCCACGTATACCTAGCCTCAAAGTGACACCGGCAAAGTTCCTGATGATCCTAGGAGCCAAAGGGCTTCAGATGGCCTTTTCTCAAGAACTAGGACATGGCTATAAAGAGAAAGGAGGAGGAAAGGGCTGGCTGAGCTGGCCACCACAGGAATGGGATCGTTCCACTCCCTGAAGCTTTTGGGTGATTTTATTTTTATTTATAAACAAGACAAAAATTCAAGCAGCATTAATTTAGAATAATTACAAAAAAAAAGTTAAAAAAACAGAAGACAGGGAGAGTCAGGAAAAGGAGTAGTGAGCATTTGGAAAGGAGGAAACATGTAGAACCCAGGCTCCATCATGTATCGGCCGTGTTCCAGCGTCTCTGAGGCTGTAGGAGAAGCCCATCCTCCTTGCTTCCCAGCTGGTCGCCAGACAGCAAAGTGGATTCTGTTGTGACTCTGGGATTAGCCACGTGGGGCCCTGTCTGGCTGCTGGCATGGGGACAGGAAGTGCTGTGGACTTCCCCTGGTCAACCTCCCCCCTCGTCATCACCCCAACAGAAGCTTTTAACCTTCCTGTCCAAAGTCCTCTGAGAATTTCTTCACTTTCAGAAGGTCTTCTGCATTGACGGTGGGTCGGGTGGTGGCCAGAGACCGAAGCATGTCAGACTGCAAAGAAAGAAGAGGTAGCTAGGACCAGGAGAGGCTCTTCTGCCCCCAGCCGCCATCTTTTATGCTGAGAATTTTTCCAGGAATGAGTGAATTGGAGTTTGTACACTGGGGTAGGAGGGTGTCTCACTTCATACCTTCATGTTATATTATGAAGTTATTAGTGGATTCAGCCTATACCATATGCCTGCCTGAGCGAAGACAGGACACAGTAGGCAGTACGAACCCTAACAAACCAAGCTGACAAATATTTTATTGAATACCTGCTGTATGCACAGTCAAACCCCTCATCTCAAATGGAAATCCTTTGTACAGACTTCTGATGCTAAATAAAGTGAGAGGAATCTGCACTCTCTATCTCTCCACAGTGAGACTCTTTCTTATGTAAGGTAGAAGGACTGTGGGGCACACACCACCACAGGTGGCTCTGTGTTTAGAAGAGGGCACAGTTGTTTAGGGGCAGTGGAGTGAGGAAAGTTCTTAGTTTGTACTCTGGCTGTCCATCTATTTACCATGCACACCACAGGCTCCAACAGCTTGTCACTGGGTACATCCATCCAAGTCATCTCAATGGCTCCAGGGTCTCCTGGAGAGCAGGGGGTCAGAAGGTCATCTATCATGACTCCAGGGTTGGTGCGAGAAGGACCCCGAACCTGGAACCAAACCAGAGACATAAGGGGCCTAGACCTACCAGCCCATCAAGACTTACTCTTCTGTAGATTCTGGCTAGACACAATAAAAATGATTCTCTGAGGAATATTTTGGGGCTGGAAAATGCTAAACAATAATTCTAAGATAACACTGGTTGTGTATGAAATTGCTAAGCTTATCAAGTCATCCAGGGAGATCAAATTCATGAGAAAGCGATGCTGTCTAACCAAGAGAGCTTTAGGTCTAGAAGCAGACATGGAGGAATCGACAAGCGAATCTCCAGGGGCCGGCACAGGACAGTAGAAAAAAATATCAGGCTTGGAGTCCGGAGAAGTTCCAATACAGCTTCTGATATGGATTAGCTAGGTGAGCCTCAGGAAATCACTTAACCTCTCTATTCACTTCAAGCAACTCCCCAGCTTATCTTTTAAAAAACTTCCTTAAATTTAGAAAAAAGTGAGTGAATATCCCTATTTTGTCCTTCCAACTGCCCCACTGAAAAAGAAAAACAAAATCTCTGTAACAAATATGCACAGTAAGCAAAATGACTTCCTACTGACCACATCTAAAAACTGTCTTCCTGTGAAACCTCAGGCCATCCCCTACCTCCATTCACAGTGCCTCAGATCTCCTGAGGCAAAGACGGCTGGGGTCTGCACCGGTAGAGGGAGCCCCCCAGATAACTCTCAGGCTAGTAAAACCCCTACTGGCCTGCTCCTAAATCTGCCCTCCCTGCTTTAATACCCACCTCCCTCACCCCAATCCACCAAACCCCACTACTGAAAAAGCTCCATCAGGTATTCTTCCCTAACAAACCACTGTCCTCCCAGCATGTCTCTTAAAATGACAAGGAACTGAAACCCAAGCCCCCCTACCCCATCTCCAACATGTTTCTGTGCATGGACCTGAAAAGGAGGACATATCAGACACATACACTCTACTGTCCTTGAAGAAGAGGAACACACCACCCGAGAAGCCAGAGTGTACAAAAAAGGAAGCTTACAAAGCCTGCCTGGTAAAGTCTGTGCCCTCCTCCCCGGCCACACTGTGCAGCTTACTACCCTACCTTTTTGAAGTGTGTTGCTGACTGCACTTTTCGCACAGGCTGCATGAGAGAATCCCGCACAATGATGCTAATGTCTGCTCCCGAGTAGCCGTCTGTCTTGCGGGCTAGCTCGAGGATGTTGGCCTCGGTGAGGCTATGTGGGGTGTTCCCGAGATGCAGTCGGAACATCTGGGTCCGGGCTGCTTCCTCAGGCAGTGGGATGTAAATTCGTTTTTCAAACCTAGAGTCAAATGCATAGGAATGGGTGCTATACAGGTTTAGAGAAGAACAGAGGTTCCATCAAGAGTCTCCCCTCAACTCCTAAAACTAAGATACCAGGGTAAAAAGGCTGGAAATTAGAGGCCCCCAGTACCAGAGTGACATTACTCGAAATCTCCAACAAAGCTATGTAATTAACACTACCCCAAGGGAATCTATGTGGGGAGGGGGAAGAAAGGAGAGAGACTGATCGAATGGATTCATTCCAAAGGAAAGAGAACAACAATGAATTATCCGATAGCACAGGAGTTCTCAGTCTAGTCCATGGATAGATTTCAAGGGGTCCATGGACTGGTCTCCTTAATATGTTGATAATATAAGTGGATTCCTTTGTAATCCTGTGTATTTTATCATATGCATTCTGAGGAGCTCATCAGCTTCTCCAGACTGCAAAGGGGTCCCTGACACAAAAAAACAGTTAAGAATCCTTGCTGTAGGGCTGATGGGTTCTGAGGTGTGACCTCCCCCAAGGGCTCTGCTTGCCCAAATCAAACCCAGCAAGATTGTGAGTGAACCACGAAGATGACTAGAGTCAAAGGTGGCTGGTTAATGTATACCTGACAACGGGATGGAGAATGAATTTAGCAGCTGGTACTAACTACTCCAGTGAAATAGGGGTCATACCCACCTCCTTCTAATGGCTGAATCCAACACCCAGGGGATGTTTGTGGCGCCCAGGACCAAGGTGCCATCATTGTTGTTCCCGACCCCTGTGGAAAGGAGGAGACAAAGAAGCCGATCATGAAAACGCGACCATCCCTAGCCATCGTCTCGGGGAAAGGACCTTGGGGGCTTTGTGCTGGTGTGAGCAGGACACACCAACTACCAGCACCTCCTGAAGTGAGAACAGGCTGGTCTGTAATTGCAGGCAGAGTAGAAAAGAAGGCAACAGCAAGGATTAGTTGGCTTCTTGGAGGGGACAGAGAAAGCACGACTGGGCTTTGTGCCCTCATGTCTCCCTTGATACCCACAGTCAAAGTTCCAGAGCTCCTTTGAAGTACTGTAACTTTGCCCAGGGCTACTTAAAGAAGGCTAAAGAGTGCACAGAGGGGAGGCAGGAGAGCGGAGTAGAAAGAGTCCTGGATGGGGAATTAAGAGAGCTGGATGAAATCATATGTGTATTCTTTAAAAATACAATAAAAACAAGGGAACCCCAAAAGCTTCAATGGCCCTGGGAGGCCTGTGTGTCCCTAAAAGCCAGCAGTGACCAGCTAGTTCTTCATGGGGGCATTGCCATGAACCAGCATGCCCTGCTCCAGGCCAAACATCAGGTGCCAGATTCTCCTTCACGGTCAGCCTGTGCTGGTGCCCTGGTCCAGGTCAACCCTGAACGCCGGCACAGTGAGCTGGATGTACTTCTCTGTGGGGTGGTCCACCAGAAGCTCTGCTTGTGGCAGGCTTAGCAGCTTTCTTGCTGGCAGGCCTGTCCGTGCATTTCTACTCACACCTGCTGGACAGGCGCTCTGTCCCAGGGCTGTCCAGGAGGTGCAAGCATGTTCAGGGTGAAGATTCTAAGGCGTAAAGGCCAATGAGCAGAGACGCGGGGGAGGCAGGCTGGACTGGCTCTGGCTCTATGGCTCCAGGCGGTCCCTTCCCCCACCCCAAGGACCTCAGCGTCATCCTCTGTAAAATGAAGACGGCGCACGCGGTGACCTCCAGGCTCCTTTCAGCACTCACCCTGCATCTGGACCAGGAACTCCGTCTTGATCCTCCGGGCAGCCTCGCTCTCATTCTCATTCCGAGATCCGCAGAGGGAATCCACCTCGTCGATGAAGATGATGGAGGGTTTGTGCTGCCTGGCCAGCTCAAAGAGGTTTTTGACAAGCCTGTGATGAAAAGCCACAACTTTTTAGCTGGGATGTGACTGCTCTTATTCACCCCAGCCCTCTCCACCCCACATGGCTTCTGGGGATCTGTCAGCAAGCAGGACTTGGTTCTCTCAAAGGCAGAGTTCACTCTGTGCCATTTTCCCCGGCCCCACTGAGCCTAGAGGGAGCGTGGCCTGGCTACTGACTTACTTCTCGCTCTCCCCCAGCCATTTGGACATCAGATCTGAGGAGGACACCGAGAAGAAGGTGGAGTTGTTGGCTTCTGTTGCCACAGCCTTTGCCAGGTAAGATTTCCCTGTGCCAGGAGGTCCAAAGAGCAGGATCCCCCTCCAGGGGGTGCGCTTGCCTATGAGAGGAAATGAAAAACTGGCAGGTGAGCAGCAAAGGATTCTGGACTCAGATGACCAAGGGGGCTAACACTGAAGCTGGGCTCTTCTGTCCTGTCCACAGCCTGACCACCCTTTTAGGCGACCCCTGGCCTTCTTTGGCCTTCTTTAGCTCACTCAAGTGACAGAAGCCTTGCTGACACTGTTCTTATGGATGAGTTGGACCAGAAGTCAGGTGGCACTGGCATCGTCCTCATCCAGGTGGTGGGGGATGGGGAACACCAGGTCGCAAGGGCCCTAACTCCTCGGCAGGCTCTAGTCCTGTGTCCTCATTCTGACTGACGGGGCACAGGAATCAAGAGGTCTCTCACTCACTAGAAGAATGGGAAATTGTTTTCATCTCTTTCTGGTAACTTTCGACTTCTTTATTTTTGGTATTGTGGACTGAATCAGTTCGACCCTCACCTGTGAACAAGTGTGGGAACTTAATGGGCAGGATGACAGCCTCTTTAAGCGCTTCCTTGGCTCCCTCCAGTCCAGCCACGTCACTCCACCGAATGTTGGGCTTCTCCATGACGATGGCCCCTGTAACAAGAAAGCAGAGGGGCTTAAGGAGGGGCCCACGAGCCCCAAGGGGATGACCACGCAGTCTCATACGACTTACCCATCAGCTGTTCTTGCAGTTTCTTCTTCTCTGGATTCTCTCCTTCACTGTCGCTGTCACTTCTGTGGAAATGAAACAGGTGGTCACAAGCTGATCTTTCATGTTGGCAGCAGGGGTTCTAACAAGCAAGGTCCAACACCTGGCTGCTGGGGCGCAACTGAAGGGACACAGAAGTCCACTGGCGACGCCATGAGCGGCTGCATCAGGGGCGCCCTCCCGCCAAAGCCCGAGGGAGCCCTCGGTCCCAAACGGAAAGGTACCCGATCCATCCTCGTAATAAGTAGGAGCTGGTTTGTAAAATCAATATGCTATTGCTAAGTGCAGCTCTTCAGGGCACAAAATAATAATAACCAACATTTCCACAAAGCTCTAACATTCACTAAGCACTTTACATACATTATCTCATGTAAACATCACAAAGGCCTTGGGGAATAGGTAATGCAGGACTATTACCCCCATTTTACAGATGAGGAGACAAGCAAGCATCAGCTGGTCAGCGTCAGTGACATACCAAGTATCAGAGGTCTTCCTGACGCAAGCCCAGCATTCTATTCACTATCCCATGCTGCCCCTTCTAAAGACTTTTAGCACCCCTCAAATCCTCTAAGAGGCCCCCCAACTCATGTACAATTGTCACTACAGAGGAAAAAAACCAAACACTGTTGCAAAATCTTGGCCTCCTGGAAGAAGGGTCTGTTCCCAGGAGTCTTCCCATCCTCCAGGAAAGGCCTTCCACTCAGGGCACCCACCCTGTCAAATCACGTTTCCTCATGACAATGTGCTTTCTACAAGGAACGTATTCCTGTCCCTGGGATACCACCTGCCAGCTTCTTCTCTTGTTGTGGTTGGTGAAACTTCAGCTGGAATTCGAGAGCCAGGCACTTCATAAATTCAGGCTAATCTTATTAGGGCATTTAAACGCAATTATTTCTCTAATTGTATTGGATGACAACACACACAAAAAGGACATGTGTCCTTGGGAGCTCTGGGGTCCTCTTGCTCATACTGACTCAGCCCCTCTGGACTGAGACACTCACCCCTTGCTGTCATTGGGAGCCTCCTTCACTGGCTTTTTGCTTTGCTTGTCTTTATTCCGTAAGTAATCCTTCAGCTTCTCCGCCCGGTCCAGGTACTGCATACACTTTCTCCGGATGCTCTCCTTTGCTTTATCACTGTGTGTCTCATCTGTAAAAGAGGCCCAGTTAGCCTCAGGGGTCACCTCCTCTTTGTAGGAGGTGCCCACAGCAGCTCAGGGCCCCACTCTGACTCACATTTGATTGCATGTAGGAAATATTCCACAGCGTGTTGGTAGAGCCGCAATGCCTCCTCATAATTCTTGGCTTTATCCTCCTCTGTCGCCTTCGTCACCAGATCAATGGCCTTCTGGAAAGACAACATAACACAGGGCTCCCAAACAGATCCTGAAAGCACTCAGTCACAGGCAGCAGGAAGACACTGGAGCCAATGAGCTCAGGCTGACTTATTCATCTGTCCTAGGCCATGAGAGCCAAACACTTCCCAGCCATCAAACAGAAAGGCTTTAAAAGAAGGCATGAAAAGACAGTCATGCCTTCTCCACAATAACCACACAGTTAACAGGGATTTCACACTTGCTCTCCTCTCTGGATTCCAGCAGGAGGAAACCTGAGCTAATGTCCCAGACTAGAGTTACAAAAGGATGGAGGAGTCATTCTGTTGTTATTAGGACACTTTATTCCACTAACTCCAAAAAGAAAGTCCAAAAAGAAAGTGTCCACCAACAGAAGACCTGGGATTCCACTGACCCTCCACTACCATTAAGTAGTTTAGAAAGAAGACCAGAAATTACACTATTTCCAGAAACAAATGGCAGAAGATGATGTGAGATTCAGAGAAGCCCCACGTCCACTCATAGACCTCACTGTGTGGATTTCAAGGGAACTTGGTTCAGTTCTACCGGCTCCACTGAATTGACTTCCTTTGGTTAGAGAGGAGGACGAGAGTATTCCTGAGACACTACAGTAAGTGTGGGAATATTTCTAATACAGAGTTTAATGACCATAAACACAAGACAGGCCTTTCTGTCTCAAAGACACATGCATCGATAGTCAAATCAAATCATATAATACACAATTTCTGCAGACCAGACACCTTCCCCAGCCCCCTCAAGCGGGATTTTAAAGGATGAAGGATCTTTATGCTCCAAAGTCTAGTTGTGGAAACTCATAATTTCACCTCTGGAAAAAGCAGAAAGCCTTTAACAGAAACAATATTAAATTATGGGGATTACAAAATCACAGCTGGCAACTAAAACCCCATCTCTAATGAAGTGATACACCTCCTGGTCCACTGGGGGATAAGGCATTATCAAATGTCATTGAGGCTCTTCCGTCAGAAAAATACAAACATTTCCAAGCAATGTGACAGACTGAAGAAATCCATTTTAGTTAATAGCAAACCAATCCAACAGCTTTAAAAGATAGGAAAAAGAGTAAGAAAATGTTTGCTGCTATCATTAGGAGTTTAGTCTTTTCTTGGAGCATACTGTAGTTTTCAGTCTTACTGGATGAAAAGCCTCAAAGACAAAGTCCTAGACCTTCTGGACCCTCTGCTGGTTTTTTGCCGTTGCTCATTAGTGAACACTAATGACAATAGCCTGGTTGCTACAAATGTCAAGAATGCATGGGAGAGAAATTTCTGCTGGGTGTGTTTTTAGCCAATCTAGGCACAGGGATAGGAACTGACCCTGTGATTTCACTGTTATGGAGAGCTACCACATGAGGAAACACTCTTTATGAATGCAGGGACCTTTTCTGCAACCTACTGTCTTAGAAATCTGACTAGAGCACAGAAAGGTTAAATGAACTGCCCAGGGTCACAGAGCCTGTATGTCAGTCGATATATCTAGGGCTAAATAAAATTAGGTCAAGCACCTAAGTTTCAAGATGGAAATTTTGTGAAGTGGAGAAAAGATCACTAAATACATAAACCTTTTTCCCCCACTGTATCTCTTGATAAATAAATTCCTCCAAAAGGGTGAGGAAAGCCAGTAACGATTCACATATCTACAAGTGTTTTAAGGTTTACAAAGTACATTCTGCAAAACATCCTAGAGAAGCAGGTAACACCTATCTTAGCTATCCATGTGACAGATGAGGACGAGGAAATTCAGAGGTGAAGTGACTTGCCTAAGCCAAAGAAATGGGTAAGGGTAAGTCAACTGGTGGGTGTGGAGCCTGGCCTCCTGCTCCAGCTGTCCCCTGTCCTAGGGTCTCATGGCCATCTGCTATGAAATGGAAACACGTTAAAGGAAGGAGAACCAGAGACCAGAGAGGCTTCAGGGAAGTCAAGCAGTCATGTAGTAGACTTGGTATAAATCCTGGCCCTACCACCATTCCCTGGGTGACCTTGGGGCAGGTCACTTCCCTTCTGCGGGTCTCAGTTTCCCCATCAGTAAAGCAAAGGAACCAGGTTCCGCGGCAGTCCGGTGCCTCCAGGTAGGGCATGGCACCTGCCCGGTGTCCCCAGGTAGGCTGAGGGCGGGGGGGGGGGGTCTGGGTCACAGAGCGTGCAAACAGGGTGGGGGCTCGCCGCCCACCACGAGAGGGTCAGAGCGGGGGGCAGCAGGCAATGGCCGAGCGCAGGGCGGCCTCAGTTTCCCCAGCTGCGGGCCCCAGGCATGCAGCGGCTGAGGGCCCGGGCCACAGCCAGGGCGGCGGCTGGGGGCCCATCCTCCTCGCCGGCGCCGGTCGGGCCGGGCCGGGCCATAGGCCTCCCGGGCGGCCTCGGCCTCGGCTGGGCCCAGGCCCCGGGCCGGCCCGGCCTCCCGGCGCGGCCTCCCCTGCCAGGCCCCCGAGGCCGGTACCTGGAGAGTTGAAGTTGTCATTTCATCTCCCGGGCGGCCCCGGCAGCCCGTGGCGCTGGTTCCGGCCTCGGTGCGGGCCCCTGCGGGAGGCCGAGGACGCTGGGTCCAGGACGGGCCGACGGGCGGAAGGGGACGCGTAGCGGGCGGGGCCCCGGCTGGGCAGCCTCGGCTCCGCTCGGCTCCGCTCGGCTCCGAGCTCACCGCGAGCGAGCGAGCGAGAGGGAGCGAGCCAGAGAGAGGACGGCGAGCGCGGCCTAGAGCGGCCCAGCACCGGCTCCGCGGTCGCCCCCTGGCGGCCGCAGCGGAGAGCTGCAGTCTCGGCGCCATCCCCGCCCATCCATCCCTGAGCAAGCGGCCAGGCGCAGCTGGGCAGATGGACTGGGGATCCAAGGCAAGCCGGTCGGGCAGAATGGATCCTGCGCGAGATGCATAATAAAGATCAAGATGACTTCCCGCATGTCTGGAATGCAGAGCCTGTGAATGGGGGTAGTAGAAGATAAGGCTGGAAAGGTAGGTTAGAGCCAGATGGTGGAGAGCCTTGAAGGCTGGGTCCAGCCCATCCCGGGATGGATATCGAGCAGAGGGATAGACAAGAGAGGAAACAGCCCAGTAGCACTTAAGCGTGCACAGAGGCCTCTTGCGAGCATACTCAGTTGGCAGTGTTTACTTTATTAAAAAAGAACAAAACCTACAAGGTTAATGTCTTCGCCTTTTCTTTAAGCTTAACTGCACTAAGACTTTTGGGACACCTTGTATAGGCATGCAACACGAAGGAAGACATACCTGGATGGTCTAGTGAAAAATGCATTGGAGACGGCATGGCCTGTAGGCAAATTTCAGAGGTACATCCGTGCTGCAGAGTTCATTGGGGCCAGAAAATGGTGAGACATCTATATATGTCACAAGGGATTGTAAAGGTCGAGTCTACAAGACTTGGCAACTGCTTGGATGAGGGGAAGGGGGGGAAGGGCTGGAGAGAAATTCAAATATTACACCGAGATGACAAACTGGGATAATGTTACTATCAACATCAAGAAATTAGAGGCGAGTTTTTTGAGTGAGAAGTAGGGAAGAAGGGTTCACTCATTCACTTACCCCTTAATTATCTAAGGACAAAGACAGGGGAGCAGTTTCATAAGTAGAGTCATTTATGTTTGCCTTGGGAATGTATTGTGTATTTGAGCACACAATGGATGTTTCTTACAAGCTGTGTGTAAACCCAATCGAGTGACCCATCTCATAAATTAGGAACTATTAGTCTTACTGGCAATGGCTTGTCAAATAGCAGTCGGTGTCAAAAAGTCTAATATTCCTGGGGGGCAAGGGAGGGCTGGTTATTAAATGAAGTTGTCCTCTAATTTTCTGGTTCTGCAAAATCATTTTTATGTACTTAGCTTCTTACCACATTTTAGCATTTTGATTTGCGGCACATTTGCCTTGATAATTATTAATTACCTGTGTTAATTATAATAAGCTCAGGCTTATGTTATGTCAAGTGCATTTCTTGAGCAGACATCCACCTGAGGATGGGAGGAAACAGGCCAGGATTAAAACAGTTGTCGAGGATAATGTTCAAAGTAAATGATTGACACATCAATTTTCAACTATTCTTATTTCTCTTTAACATTTCTGAAAAATAACACCATTTCCCTCCCCCCCCATCTCTTCTCCCCCCCCCACTCCCCTCCATGATTTGCATGAAAACAGAACCAGAGGATCAAATGATTTAGCTTCTATCCTCAGGAAGTCAGCTGTACAACCAGGACAAGAACTTATTACTCATTAAAACCCTAACTGGGAACATGTGGTTGCTCTAAATCTATTTATAAGTGGCATTTGAGGCAGGTAATAATTTGAACAGATATCTTATAAGAGGAAACACTGAAGGTAAAAACAAGCACATCTAAAAGCAAAACTTTTTATTATTTACAATATAAAGGTTACAAAGGTATATATGTACTTATATATATTGCCCTTAGGTCACACATTTTCATTGTAATGTACAATGCTATAGTTAATATGCAACTCAAGGAAAGTGTTGTCTATGTATCCATATTTATAGTGTACATATAAAGCTTTCCTGGGATTGACTGTTAAGAAAACAATACTGCCCTGTTTTACATGAATATTTTGATTTGGTAGCCTAGATCAGCCAGAAGATCCAAGATAAGAGGAAAGAAGTCTTATTTGAATACAGGATATACTTTTGATTCTATCTAGCAGTATTATTACAATCTCCTTAGTCTCAATATTTAAAAATCACCAGGAACAATATGTGAGAGAGAGGGGAATGGGGTGAAGAGAGGGAGAAGGGAAAGGAGGAGGGAGGGAAAAAAGGGGGAGGGGAGCCAGAATTTTCACAGATGTCAGTCAAAATGGGCCATTTTGGGTAGTGATTTTACACAGGTTATTTCACCAAATCTTTGGGGTCGATGGTACCAAAAGGAATAGCTGTTACTTGTCATGCTGTATTCACTGTGTAAACATAACACCGGTGCCATTTGTTACAGCAAGAAATTCTAAAATGGCTCTTTCCAAAGGGCAGATTTGCTAAGGGAAGCAACAGCTATGAGTGAGTGGTGATGCTAAATAGGAAATACAGTTTTAAGCTATCCATATTCCTGCCTTCTAATAGGGTAACTACATAAAGATGAAAAGTGTAACTGAATCCACTTAAGCAAAAAAATGGATAAATGACATTTCCCAAGCTATGGACTGCAGATACCTAAATATAGAGATCCCAATTACATATAACGGAGAACGTCAGGATCTCCAAGGGCGTGTCTAATGAAAGGAACAAGACACTGAAGCAAAGACCAATTTTCACGTACAGTCCTAGCATATCTGAAAACAAAGGGTTAGTTAAGGGCCAATGTGACTTTTACACGCTATACCAAGAAGATGAATACGTTTTCTGAATACACCTGAGGCTCATCCATTTAAAAACTTGATCTATGTTGTGAGGTCTGAGGAAAAACCTATTTTTAACTCAATAAGGCATTTTGTACAGAAAAGGGCTTTGGTTGGATGAAAATTTTTTGATAAATTAAAAAATTTCTTCTCTCTTTTCTCAAGTACATTCCATGTTCTGGGACCACGTCTCCAGTAGTTGCTTAAAAAAAAAAAAGAAAGAAAAAAAGGATATTTCTCTGAGGTTCCCAATGTCTTCATTTTGACCAATCACTAAGGAAGCATTTTACTATGCAAATAAGGAGCTATTGAGAGGGATGTCAGTCTGGGAATTTATGTAACAGCACCATTTAGAAAAAAGTTGATGGGTGGAACAAAGAGTAATCCTATTTAATTCTGCTCTGTGTCATTGAAGGAATCTCCTCTTCTCTCTCCCCATCTCTTCTGTCTTCCATTCTTCACTCAGAACAGAGCTTGCTTTGTTTGGCCGCATCTTATTTAGGAGATGAAATTCCACGACATGTCACATCAAGCCTTTCCTTCCTTCTTCTGGTGGGAAAGAAAAAACCAATTTATGCTATCTTAGAGTTGGAAGGAACCCCAAAACACCTAAGCCAATCCCTCTCCAAGTCCTGAATTTCCTCTCCAAAGACTCCTAAGAGTGGTTCTACTTCTCCTCCAAGTCTACCATGGAATGGGAATTCACTACCTTCCCCCTGAGGCAATTCCTGCAGGTTTTTCCCTCCTGCATAATTAATGTAATATGAGATTTCCTGTAAAGTGCTCAGACTATCACCCTCATTTTCATGGGATAGACAGCCTTTTCTCAAAGCCCAAGTATCACTTCAGGCCTTTTTGTACGGTTTGCCAGCATACCCAATTAGTAAAAATGGGAAAACACTTTGGTAAAAATCTGAGATGAAGTCCTTAAAACCTACTGTGTAAGAGAAGGCATGATTTAGTTGGGCATGAACTAGATTTGCCAACAAGTCTGGCTTCTTTTGAAAGCCCCAAAGCACCAAATGCAGTACTGGGAATCGTAGGCACTTAAATGCTCGGTGAATGAATGTCCTTTCTCACTACAGCATAAGCTATATCTAGTTTTAGCCAACACATTTTTAGGCAAGTTGAGTTATGTTTAATATGTTACATTACTGGTAACTAAGTTCTTTAGACAGCAAGCACCAGATGTTATCTGTAAAAAAGGCACATAGAACCATGACATCAAAAGCAGGAGTGCTGGAAAATGAGAAAAAAATACTTCAAGTTCTGCCACTGGAGAAGTTCATAAGCAAGGTAGGGCACTGTTGGAGAGATTACCAGACACTGAAGTTAAATTTCACCAAGTTTGAAATAAAACCCATCACATCTAAAAATATTCCTTAAAAACTAAAGCATATAAATAATTCTTGCTAATAAGAATAAGGGGTCTCACTTGAGTTCAAAAAAATCAGCTTCAAAAGTATAAAATGGGGAAAGCTTGGTTAGAGAGCAATGTTTGAAAAAAGACCTGGGGAAATTTAGCAGACTTTATAGAAGCCCAGTGGGAGTGGACACCCCTGTGATACAGCAGCCGTAATACCAGTGACATGATCTTAGGCTGCATTGGGAGAGGCGGGAGGGCAAGAGTGAGGAAGAAGGGCCTCCCGTACCCTACCTCCATCAGACTACATGAGGACCAGTCGGCTGTGGGTGACACCGATAAAGGGGAGAACGTCTGGGATGATGATGGGCCTTGAGATTGTGCTATAAGAGAATCTGTGAAGGAACTGAAAAAATTCAGCCTGGAAAGGAAAAGACGTAGGGGAAATCGTATAGTTAACTTTCAATATCTGAAGAAGGGCTTTCTCATGGAAAGAACAGACTGGTTCTGCATGGCCCCAAAAGGGAGAACAAGAAACAAGAGGTAAAATTTGCAAAGAGGCAGATTTCGGCTTAATGAGATAAAACTTTCTGACAATTGCAACCATCCGTAAGTACAGTGGGCTGCTTGAGGGGGCAGTAGGTTCTACTCACTGAAAGGTTCTCAGGCAAAGACAGGATGACCACTTGTTGGGGGTGTTGCAGAGGGGATTCTTGGTCAGGTATGGCCAAAGCTGGGTGCGGGAGGAGCCCCTTCAACTCAGATTTTGCAATATGGGCCCAGACTCACTTAAGCAACTGAACCTGCATCACCCGTAGCAAAAGCCAAACTTAGCTTTGGTAGGAAGGGCTTCAGAGTAGCTACTCTAACACATTTTCTACATAAAATAAATCTCTAACATTGTTAGGACAAGTCATTCAAATTCATGCATCACTTATAAGGACCCTTACAGAATCAAATGGTTAAGGTGGTAGCGTAATCATTTCAGACATATTTATCAACTCATAAGTATTTACCAAGTGCTGGGTAAGAGCCCAGCAACATTGATTTTTATGAACTGTGTGGTTTTTAAAAGCATATTAGCATCTTAAACCATTCAACAGAAGTTAAACGTTGATGTGCCTAGGTTACCAAGTAAAAGATGGCGCTTACTAAAATGGGGCATCAAATAATGAGTTCTTATACTTCCTATACTGGGGTGGGGATGGCGGAGGAGACAAAAATAATCTAAATTTAACTGAAAAATACTACAGACTTCACTGACTGCATATGAGGTCTTGCCAAAAAGCAATCTGCAGTAGGGCAGTGGGTCATGTTTAACCTAAAATATAGTTTAAACAAAGTTCTAAGGTCTAAAAGAAGTCCTCATTTTATAGAAATTAGAATTTCTCCGATGCAAGCAGCTTCAGAACCAAAGAGTTTTGGCATTTAACTTTTCATTTAATAATACAGAATTCAATAGCAACCTTTGGCCTTCCTACTTGACAGATCAACTGTAATTTCATTTAACTTTGGCAGCAACACTGTTCAGTTTAAATGTTATTTAAAATCAATAGTTTATAGCCACCAAAATTAAGACATTAACATAATTCAGTTTAAGTGTCAGAGCTAAGAATAATAAAAATAAAACAGAGAAAAGTGCGAAAGTCTACATGTCTTCCCCAGAGCCTAAAGAATGTTTAATTAACCCTTTAAGCAGGTAGGGCTTTGAAGATAATTTGCATAGCAGCTTACAAGGTGGTTTGTAGGTGAAAGAAAAAACATGGACAGGGACAGTCTCATTTTTGTTTTTGAAATATACTAATATAACATGCATATAAATTATACCCTAGTATCTGAAGGGTTTTTTGAGAAAAAAAAATCCATCAGACCTTTTCTCAAATGTAGTCACACCTCCTTGTCATTGAAAACCATTTATAGCAAAAGCTATTTTTCTGGGAGAAACATGACCTTATTAATTCTCCACATGGATTTTTATTTTAAAAAAAACTGAGGAAAACTTAGGAGTTGGCAGCTAAGTGCAAATTTAAATAGCAAGCAAGATTTTGCTACTAGCATATACCTTTACAGAGTTAATTTTGAGACATGAATAGCAGTAACAGCTTTAACTATTTGCTATTTAAAGTACAAGTTGTGTTTTTTTTAATAGAAATGTAACAAACAAGGAATTCCATAGCTCTACTTCCTGCCTATGCAGTCAGTTTTTGGAATTGTAAAGTTATTGAGAGTGCAGATAATATGAACGGATAATATGAACCGATAAGATATCCCTTGTTTAAAAAGTGCTCAAAGATGGCTTTTGAAGACTTGAATGGCCTTTAGAATAAAATTCTGAATATGTGCACATAGCCAGTATACCTCACATTTCTGGGGTCTACTGGATAGTTACATATAATTACAATTATAATTATTCTAATAAATAACTGCATAAACACACATGAAAGAAAAATACTTATCTATATAATGCTAGATTTTAAAGTAATTTGCAGGTCGAGTTCTAGTTTTTGACCTTGCAAGGAAAGGTTTCCTTTTACAAAAAGATAGCTATTCCTACCTTTCAGTTTTTTTTCTTTATCATATGCCAGGGTGAGGACAGAGGGGAATGGAGGAAAAAGAGAAAAGAAAGGGTCACAGGCAGAAAAGAGCAGGCTCTCTCTCACCGACCAGTGGCTTATGAACTCAATCGCATGAATGTTGGGGAGAGGGGTATGGAACAGAACATCTCCAGTCCCCCCACCTCGGTTGCATAGGAGTGTGAACAAGAAATACCGCTGCCCAGTGGTTCCCTTTAAGCTCCACCCATGGAGAGCACCGAGCACTTTCACAAGTCTTCTCATCAAAAATGAGAAGGGGACCAAAAGCTGCCAGGCCGGTGGTCAGAGGCAGAAAGGCAACAATGCCGTCTTTTCAAACAATCTGCCATATTCGGTGAGCTTAATTGGAAACCCATTTATCCAAACTGTCCCTTCATAAAACACTCCATTTGTGGGATAGGGATCTCACCAAGTGTACCCTGGCCACCCGTGATCGGATGACTCCAAGAGGGTCTACCAGGTACAGTCTGAAGGCTTCCCAGAGAGGCTGGGGTCTTGTGGGTGGGCTTCTATTCCCTTCCATTTTGTTTCTCTTTCAAGGTGCAAAGATCTAATCAAGACCCTTAGGTCTTTGATGCTTTTATGCCTGAGCAGCCCAAACCGGGGGAAATGAAATCCACAATCTGATCCCAGGTTAGGAAGGACAGACGAGGGTTGGCTTCTCTTGTTCTCACTTACATTTTACCCCGTACAAAATCTTCTTGTGAAGAAGGATGAATAGAATGGTTTCCAGACATTCCCATGATTATATTTCTTGTTGGCTCAGGCTTTTCTTTTTTCTCCCCCAAAACAAGAATATATAAAAATATCCACAGCAAAGCAGGAATCTAAGGATGTTGTTGGGGAAATTTCAGTCTGCAGAGTTAAACTTTTGTTCACCTTGGAAAACAGCAGTCCAACGTAATGATGTTTGGATTGTGCAGAGATTTGACAGAGCTCCTAGATTTGACCGCAGCCAGTGCTGGAATTCTGCTTTAAGACACAACCTGGGCTTCAAGGCATTCATTTAAAAAAAATCCTTGGGTCTTGTTGGCTGCTCCCAGCCACTAAAACTTTTACTATCAAAATTCATATTGGATTTGAGATGAAAAAGATATTTAAAAGACCAATTAATCTGTAAGTTCCAATTTTAGATGAGTCTATGGATTTTGAAAATAACAAATTCTATAAGTAACTCTGTTTTGCCTTTGGATTTGTATCTTTGCAGTTCAAGTAGGGGGGACAACTTAGGTCTAGTTTTCAGAAATTCCATGGATCTGGGACAGGAGAAGAAGGGCACCTTCCTCATCCTGATCACATGAGAATTATGCAAGAGCACAGGCAGCTCATGGAAAGGGGCAGAGCAGCGGTCCGGGGGGGGGGGGAAGGGGCGGGGAGAGCTGGCCTGTGCTTGCTCAAGAGGCAACCACTAGCACTGCTCTACCATGTACCCAGTCTTCATCACCATTTCAGAAATGCTGACTACAGGGATCCTTCATGGGATGCCCAGCCCTCCAGCACTTCCCTGATGAAAGGAGGGAGCCTTCCAATGAGACCCCTGCTGGCCTGGCTCTCTGATCGCACACCTGCCCCTTTCTGAATTTCAGCCAGTCTGCCAGAGTCAACATCCAGGCCAGTTGTAAGGCTTCGCTGCTGCCTTCCTTTCAGATTCAGGATGACTGTTATAACTCAAATGGCATTCATACTCTTATTTTTAACCATTTTTCATAAACGTAGCCCTGTTAAGATTAGGGGAAGGGAAGGATTTACAATGCCAGAAACCCAACAACCTTGTTTGTTCCATTTCTTTGGAGTAATGTCAAGAATACTTCAAGAATGCCAGAGGGCTGTTCTAGAGCCTCACTGGGTCTTGACATTGCTAAGGATGAATAATTTTTTTCCCTATCACGTTGTGGGGGATAAACCAGCCCATATATCGCAGAGCCTGCATTGGGATCAGATGGCCCTAAGGGATTGCTGATAGCATTTGTGCAAAGGGGCAGATCATTCCTCCAAAGTTCACTCTTGAAACAGGATGGCAACTCTTCCAGGTTTGTCTTCTCTATAGGAGCTTTGCCAGCTGCTAAAAATGCAGCTATGGAAGCTCACCTTAATGAAGCATTCTTCAGAACTGAGATGACCTTCCTTTAATGGAGCTTGTGATATTCACCTACATCTGACCCATCTTGACCAAAGGCACATTTGGCAAGCCATTAAAAAATGGCTTTGTATAAAATAAAGATTTTCTTGTAAAATCAGTCTCATACCATAATATCCTCTGTTTCCTTCCAAAAACATTAGAGAAAAAAAAAACCCAAACTGAAATGAGTAGATATTTCCTTGTAATACCCTGGTCTCCAATATTCTTTCTGCTAGGTGCTGGTTAAAAATATGTGGTGAACTAAACCAACATTTTACAAGTTTTATGCTATAAAGTAAACACTCTTGAGGGATAAAACTTGGTAAATTGGGTGACGATGGCCGTGGTGGGGATGTAGCAATAGTATCATGACAGAGAGAGGGACACCCATGGGGCCCGCAACTGAGGCTTCACACGACAGAAGGAGATGGCAAACTCCTGCCAAAGCTTAGGAAGCCCCTGAAATGGCCGCAAAGCAAACAGCCTGCTTGCAAAGAATGGGTGGGGAGAGTTGTCCAGCATGGATGTCGGGTGTGAGGATGGGCACCAAATCAAGCCCATGAACTCAGGAACAAGGGAAATGTCTCTCTACTGTTTGCTCGTATTTGGAAAGAAGAACCACGACCCCACCCCATCATGGGAGAAGAGAGACAAACACAAACAGATGATGAACACAGAGAATATACAGAAAATAGCTCATCATTCTACAGTCATGGAAGTCACGCCTCCCCATCCCTAACCAGGGAGGGACCTCAGGGAGAACGCCGGAATTCCTGCATGTGGTGGCTCGTCCTCATGGGATGTTCTTTGAACACGGTTTTGGGTTAGCAGTGATTGCAGGTCCTTGTCAAGGCACTGATGCTGTAGGAGAGAGCAAAGAAGCAGCTTTCTTTTGTGCTTAATTGTTTTCTTCGGAGGTGGAGGCGCTCCTTGTGATGCTCAGAGCTCAGCGGCCTTGGGCTCACACCAGCAGGCCCATGCGCGTGACTTTGGCTGACAAGAAGGTGTGCACCACAAAAACAATTGGCTTGGGGCATGAGTGCAGGTCCATGGTCTGTGGGGAGAGCAAGGAGCCAGTCAGTACTCTGAGATGGAGAGGTGCGACACACACACAAGCTATCCAGCGTCAGCCCTAGGGTAAGGCACCCCCCTCATCTCCACCCGCTACTCGAGGGCCCCTCTGTCATCAGGGGTCAGCTCAAAGGCCCCTGGAAAGAAGCGTCCCCTCTCTCCTCAAAGTCTCCTACCGTATTTTGTCCAAAGGTCCTTTTACTCTCATCATGCGCTGCTTTAAACTCCACTAATGTGTGTGTGCGTGTGTGTGTGTGTGTGTGTGTGTGTGTGTGTGTGTGTGTGTGTGTAAAAGAGATAATCTCACAACAGATATAAGCTCTTTGGGACAAGGACCACATCCTTTCTCATTTTTCTATTCCTAGCGCCTACCCACAATGCCTTGCTTAACAAACGTTAACTGAATATTTTTTGCTAATAAAGAATTATACCCAGACAAGGATGGGCCCAGTGATACGGTAAGTCAGTATTTGATTTTATACAATTAGGTACTCTTTTCTTCTTTTTATTTTTGGGACAAATGGGGGACCGGTGACTTTTATTGTATATAAAGTTAAGAATACTCTGAAATTTCTGAAACTGCTATAGTCTTGTCATTTATTTTACTTAAGAACCACAGTAAATTTAAATGAAGCAAGTTTTGAGGTAGATATGTACAAAAATATGTATAGCAGCTCTTTTCATAGTAGTTAACAATGGAAGCTAAAGGGGTGCTCACTGATTGGCGGATAGCTAAACAAATTATGGTATATAAATACAATGGAATATTTTGTGTAAAAAGAAATTACAAGATGTACAATTTCATTGGAAACTGGGAAGACTTCTATGAATGGATATAGACCGAAGTGAACAGAACTATGAGAACAATTTCTACAGTTACATCTCCTCTCCCTAAGTGGCTGACAAAAAGATGACCCTTCCCCTTCCAAGGCCGTGCCTTGATCCTATCCCCAGCAGCTTTCATTCTCCATCCCCTCCACCTTTTCCCATACACTGGCTCCTCATCTACTGTGTTCCAACATGCCCAAGGCTTTAGAAATCACTACTCTATCATCCCTTTAGTTTCTCACTCTAGATTTCTCCTCCCTTCTTCGTCCAAACTCCTTGAAAATGCTGACCATATGCCCAGTCTTTCCTTCCTTGCCTTTTGCTGACTTCTCAGTCCTCTGCAGTCTGGCTCCTGTACTCATCACTGAACGGAAACGGCTTTCTCCGAGTTACCAATGATTCCTCACTCGCCATGTCTGATGGTCTTTCTTAGGACTCGTCCTTCTCAACACAGTTTGTATATGTGATACCACTGACTGCCCTCTGCTCCTGGACACCCTTTTCTCCACTCTATCTATCCAAGCTCCCCTCCATCTCCTTTGCTGGCTCATCATTCACATCATGCTGTCCACCTGAGGGTGTTCTCGGTATTCTGTTTCTAGCTCTTCTTCTCTGGTACCCTCGTCATCATTATCAGTTTCGCTATCATCTCAATTGCAGATAACTACACTCTCTCTCACACACACACAGCCCTACCCTCTCCCGAGCTCAGAGGTTTTAACCACATCAACAGTTGCCTAATAGCCATTTCAAAATGGATGTCCCAGAGACATCTCAAACTTGGTTTGTCCAGAACTGAACTTCTCTTTCCCCTCAAACTCTCCCCTGCTCTTCCTCCTGCAAAGTCCCTATTTTTGTCCCAAGGCCTCGCCATCTGTCCGACTTCCCGATTTATAACTAGCATTATTCACTCCTCCTTTTCCCTCGCCCCACGGATCCCGCCAGCTGCCAGATTTCGCTGGATCTGGATCTGCCTCCACAACATTCTTCCATCTCTTCTCTCCATTCCAATAGCTGACATCATTGCAATGGTCTCCTAGTTGGTCTTACTGCCTCAACTCTCATTACTCCAATTCAAACTACACAGTTCAATTTTCCTTAAATCCTGAACCAAACATGTCACTTCCCTAACCAATAAACTCCAGTAGCTTCCTGTTAACTCTAGGCTAGAATGGTAATTTCTCTGTTTAGCTTCCAGAGCCCTTCACAACTTGATCTCAAAAGGGAGTTTACCTTTACAGAGGAATTGTAGTGCAATGGATAGAGATGGGCTTGGGGCCTGGGAGACCTGAGTTCAAGGCCCACCTTTGACACAAAATGGCCTTGTGATCCTGGGCAGCTAACTCACTTTAACTCTCAGAGCTCCAGACAGCTCCTTAACACTAGAAATTGCAGAGAAGTGCTGGCCTACCCTGATAGAGGGAGCTTCCTCGCTGGCAGTTCCCTACAGCAATAAAGTCACAAATCCAGTCCCGTCCCCCATTCCACCCCTTTGAGGTTCAAGGGCTCACTGCTTCTTCTTGGAGCATCAGGGCAACTTTGGCAAGAAGAACCAGCTGACTGCTTATGAGAGCAAAGGTGGGCATTTACTTCCAGAGCATCTGTCTCCAGGCTGCCTCTGGGCCTTCTACCTCCTTGCTTTGTTCCTCCAAGGGAAAACATCTCTGCTTCCTTATCCTTCCACAGACAGAAGGCAAATGAGAAAGCGTGTCATGCTGTGTGGGCACAGCTCTCGGACTATTTCCATTCAAAGCAGAGTTCCCTTGGCAACTAAATGACTAAATCTCAACTGCCCCCTCTTAACAGATCGCCAGTATTAGCACTGGCTATAGTTCTGTTTTATTTCTTTAAAAGGGCTACTAGCATCAGCATTCAATAGAAAACTTTTGTCAAAGACTTCTTTCTTTTACTTTGTTTAAAGTAAAATTTATTTTAACTTCCATTGACAAATATAGTTATTCAAATACATGGAACAAGAACATAAGAAAAAAAAGAAAAACAGGCAAATAAGGTGAAACGGCCATTTGAAATATCTCGGGTTTTTTGTCAGTGGGTTTCAGCTTATCTGCCTGAGATGGAGAGGCTCACTGAAGCCAAAATGGACACTTGTGAGTCTGTAAAATCAAAAATATTTTGTACAGCAAAACCCAATGCAGCTAAAATTAGAAAGAAAACAGCAAACTGGGAAGGGGGGGAGGCTCCTTTAAGCAAATTTCTCTCAGAAAGGTCTCATTTACAAAAAAAAAGGAATTAATTTATAAGAGAACTATTCCCCACTAGATAGTCAAAAGATATGAACAGGCAGTTCTCAGAAGAAGCCATTCAAAGTATAAAAAGCTTTGTGAAAAAATACTCCAGATAATAGAGAAATGCAAAGCATTAAAGCAACTTTGAGGTTCCAGTTCACAACCCATTAGGCTGGGAAAGATAACCCAAAAAATGAAAAGGACAAAGGGTGGCTCAGAGATAATGGGCACACTTGTCTTTTGTGGGTGGAGGTACAGTGTAACTGTTCCACCCATTCTACAAAGCAATTTGGAACTATGTCCCCAAAGTTACTGAACTATGAATAGCTCCCTTTGGCCCAAGGATACCACAACCACTGCACCTATACTCCAAAGATAAAACAAAGAGAAAAATATTCTATGTGTACAACAATATTTGCAAAATCTCTTTTTGTGGTAGCCCAAAATCAGAAACTAAGGGAATGTACTTCTATTGAAAAAAGGCTACAAATCTGTATATATGAATATAATGGAATATTACTATGCCAGAAGAAATGATGAAACGGACAGTTTCTGATGAGAGTGGGAAGCCCGATGAACTGCCATAGAGTGAAGTGATCAGAAATACAAGGATGATTGATACAGTGAAAACAACTTTAGTGATCGATTCAATGATAAACCATGAGTCCAAAGGAAGATGAAACACTCCACTCGCCACTCGCTGGTGGAGTTAGGAGCATTCCATTCCATTACTCCTGTACCATAGTTTGTCCAGCCATTCCCCGAATGATGAAAGCTCCTTTGTTGTCAATGTTTTGCTAGCACAGAGAGCGCTGCTATGAGAGGCATTCTATCTTGGTCCTCCTTGGAGTATCTGCCCAGTAATAAAACCACTGGATCAAAGGGTACGAACAGGTCAGTGCCTCGTCTTGCACCACTGTTTTCTAGAGCAGCTGGACCAATCCACAGCTCAAACAGTGTCCACTAAGGGTGACTGTCTTCCCACGAACCATTCAACAATGGTAGTCACGTATTTTACCATCTTTTGCCATTTTAAGGCATGTGAGTTGTTTTCATTTGTATTTGTTTTTAGTAATTTGAAACAATTTTTCATATGGTCATTGTAAACTGTTCATACATTTGATCACTTACTTATCAGAGTAATAAATGTAATATAAATGCCTACTGATGGACTGGCTAACTGAGGAATGGCTATTGGTCTTATATATTTGTGTCAATTCCCTAGATAACGTGGATATCCTACCTATCACAGATATTTGATGTGAGGATTTTTTCCACATTTGACAGGTTCTTTTCTTATTCTAGCTGAACTGATTTTGTTTGTGCAAAAGCTGTTTAATTTTATGTAATTAAAACTATCCATTTTAACTTTTATGATCCGGAGGGTAAAAAATTTTCCCCTTTGTGAAAGGTGTCTTTCCTAAGTTTTAGCTTTTATTTAAAGTAATGTGAACTTTTATATTAAGGTGGCAAATGCACCTAAAATTTATTGTACTATATAGTTTAGGATGTGCTGGTTTAAACCCAACTTCTCAGAGTGTTTTCCATTTTCACAGCCATTCTTATTAAATAGGGAATCCTTCCTTCTGCCTCCACTCCTACAGTCTGTGTTCTTAGGCTTACAGAACCCAGGATAGCCCTTTTCAGTAGCTTCTGGGTCTCGCTGACCTATGGTCTTCCACTGAGCTATTTTTCTTTTTGTTGTTGTTTCCTTTTCAGCTGTGTCTGACTCTTTGTGACCCCACTGGGGGTTTTCTTGGCAAAGATACTGGAGTGGTTTGCCATTTCCTTCTCCAGCTCATTTTACAGATGAGGAAACTGAGGCAAACAGGGTGAAGTGACTTGTCACACAGGAATTAAGTGTCTGAGGCCAGATTTGAACTTGGGAAGATGAGTCTTCCTGACCCTAGGCCTGGTGCCCTATGCACTGCACCACCTAGTGACTTAGTTTTTATTAAGCCAGTACTATTTTGTGATTAGTACTTCATAATATAATCTGACATCTGGTAATGCTATGCTCACTTCATTCCTACCTTACCTCCATTATTTTCTTCAAGATTCTAGAACTTTTAGGGACAGCGTGGTGGGTGCAGTGGATAGAGCACTGGCCCTGAAGTCAGGAAGACCTGAGTTCAAATCTGGCCTCAGACCAAACACTTGACACTTACTAGCTGTGTGACCCTGGGCAAGTCACTTAATCCCAATTGCCTTAAAAAAAAAGATTCTAGAACTTTTAAAAATGATTTCCCCAATCCTGCTTACCAGTTCTCCCTCAGGACCACCAAAATCCAAGTACAGATTTCTGATACCATCATCAGCAGACATTTTTAACTTTTCAAAGGGGTATCGATATAACACGCTGCCAGGGCCTCCTCCTTCTCGGGAGATTGTGAATCCATTCTCATAATGCACTGTGAGTCGCACTTCCTGACCATTCATTATGCAACCTGTACAAAAATAGGCAAGCAAGCACAATTAGGAGGGTTTACGCTTTGTGCTGTCAAGGGCCAGAGAATTCTTCTGAGTTGGAGTGAGGAAGGTGACACATGCTCAGACTTCGGTGAGTCACTGCTTACTTGGCATCTACTAACCAAGGCCTCATTTTGGTCACTGATTTCTCCATTGATACAGAAAAGGGACCACCATATTCTCTTTGACATAGGATCCAATTACAAATAATTAAATATTTAAATAATTAAATAGTAGTCCCTGGCCTCGAGGAGTGAGGACTCTAACTTGGGAACTCAGACATAAATACGAAATAATAAAATATATCAAAATGAGTGGTGGCACAGTACAAAAGGATGTCAGTGTGGAGCGATGGTACCCAGAATCACGGGGAAAGGTCTTTGTGGAAGGGCCAGTGAAAGAAGACAGGTAGTTGATAGGTCAGTCAGCCCATAAAAAACCCATATTTACTAAGTGCCAGGCACTGTACTAAGCACTGGGGATACAAAGAAAGGCAACACAGTCCTGCCCTCAAGGAGCTTACAGTCTAATGGGAGATGTGAAAACAAATACATACAAAGTAAGCTCTAGACAGGATAAACAGGAAATGATCAACAGAAGGAAGGCACTGGAATTACGAGGGGCTGGGAAAGGCTTCCCATGGACAGCGGGATTTCAGCTCGGACTGAACTGAAGCCGAGAGGTAGAGAAGAGGGGAGGGAGCACAGTATGCAGGACAGAAAGAAGCCAGTGAAAATTTTCAGAGTTGGGAGATACAGTATCTTGTGTGAAGAACAACAAAGAGGTGAATGTCACCAGACTGTAGAGTATGCGTGTATGGGTGTGTGTGTGTATGTGTGGTGTAAGAATACTGTTGGAGGCAGGGGGATCTTAGGAAGGGCTTTGAACCCCAAAAATAAGTTTTTATATTTGATCCTGAAGACATTAGGGAGCCACTGGAGTTTATTAAGTAGGATGGGGTGGGGTATGGTAAGTGACATGATACTTTAGGAAAATCACTCTGGTGGCCAAATGGAGGACAGGTTAGGGAGAGGGGGAAGAGACTTGAGGCAGGCAGACTATTACGATAATCCAAGTGTGAGGTGATGAGGGCAGTGTCAGAGGAGAAAAGGGGAAATATTCAAGAGATGTTTCAAGGGGAATTTGACAGGCAACAGCTTGGACATGGGGGGAGAGGTAGTGAGGAATCCAGGACCACTCCTGGGTTGTATACCCAGGGGACTGTGAGGATGATGCTGCCCTCTATAGTAACAGAGAAGGTAGGAGGGAAAAGGATCTAGGGGGAAAAATAAGCTTAGTTTTGGACATATTTGGTATAAGATGTCTATAGGACATCCAGTTTGAGATGTCTATCAGGCAGTTAAGATGTGATAATGGAAGTCAGCAGAGTCTAGGGCAGAACAAGCAGATCTGACAATAATCTACATAGAAATAATTGAGTCTGCTGGGAGCCATGAGATCACCAAATGAAATATCATAGGGGGAGAAGAAAAGGAGAAGCAGGACTCACCCCTGCATAAGCAGCTGGAGGATTCAGTAAAAGTGACACAGAAGGAACAGTAATATGGGCAGGAGGAGAACCAGGAGAGGGGCTTGAAACCAAGACAGAAGAGAGTATCCTGTGAGACAGGAGTGAAGGAGGTCACGGGACAGAAGGAACCTGGTGATACAAGATAAGGAGGAGGAGGAAAAGAGGGAGCTCCCAGCAAATAGCCTCAGTTTTTTTCAGTAAAATATGAGGCAAGGTTCTCCACGGAGAGGTGGGGTAAGGGGTAGCCATGGGAGGCTTGAGAAGGTTTGGAAGAGCTGCTGTGGAAATGGGAGAATGAGTGGATAAGGCAAGTACAGCAGGACGCCGAGCAGCAGTGAGGGCCCAGGTGAGATTGTGTAACACATCTGTAGTGGATCCTGTCAGAACAGGTGTGGCAGATGGTGGGAGTGGTCCAAGGCTGGGGCTTGGCAGGGCACAATCAGTGACATGTTAGGGATGTAAAAGACCCAGGAGAAGAGGATCTGGTTCACTAAGGGATCGAGATGAGAAAAGTGGGGGAGTGCAGCTAATGCAGGGAAGATGGGCCTGGGAGAGAACCAAGGGCTGAGATGATGAGGGATCAGAGGTCATGGTGTGGGTGAAGGGTACAGTTTAAGATTTCAAGGCAGAGGAAGAGGCAGAATGCTAACAGACTGATCAGGTAAGGGAATTTAACAGTTCATGAAAAAAGAGGTGGGGCATCTGTGGGTGAGGACAAGATCTAGGGTATGACCATCTCTATGTGGTTGTGATAGAGCAGAAGTCATAAGAAATGAATTGGGAGGTCAGGGTGATTGAGGGAGTATTGATATGTAATGCTGAAGTCTCCTAGGATGAGAACAGGAGCTGGAGAGGAGAGAGATTGTAAGGCAGGGCGTGGACTCACTGAGAGAGGCAGGAAGGGGAACGTCCCGGAGGTCTGTAAGCATCTGCCTGCACATGGATTGACAGGCAGAAAAAACTAGGACATCATTCTAGGGGGCTGGGGAGGGAGATGGGGAGAAGCTGGGCTGGGGGGATGGTCGTGGCAAAGGCAGGAGTGGGCATGACTCACTTAGGGAACAGAAGGAGGCTGCTCTGGTTGGAGTTGGGGGCTTGTGTTAGGGAGAAGGAAGAGACAGAAGAAACCCAACGTGGTTAGCAAAAGGGTACAGTTGACAAAACCCACACCATCATTTTAAACTAACTGATAAAAATCAAAAGGTAAATTAGACCTCTCAGGGTAAAAGGAATTCTAATTATCATCCTCTTCAAGACAGATTAATGAATTCCTTAGCAAAGTTACAAGTCTTATGGATAACTTTTATTAAACACATGTGGATGTGTGTCTGGATCTCTTGTGTGATTTTCTTAGGTATAACTACCTCCTATAGATTTGGCCCCATCTGCATCTTACTGTGAAGAACTGGCCTGGAGTCACACACCTAAGCTTGTCGGAGGCTGGAGTGGAATCCACATTATCTCAGGTTTTAGGCCAGGTCTCCATCCACGATGGCTGATGGAAACGTTCCTTAGAAATCATTTGTTTAACCCTCTCACTTTACAGATAAGGTAAATGAGGTCTAGTGAATCAGTTGTGACAAGAAAATTAATTGCTCATTAACTACAAGATGGCAGATTATTTGTACAACTTGAGTTATGCAGAAAGGTTTTATTAAGACTCCGTAAATGTATAGCTATAACCCAATATGTGTAAATTTTTATCAAGGGTAAACTCTAACTAACCAAGTTAAAGAAGAGAAACAAAACTTATTTTATTTCATTTTTGTAAAACTGCTTAATAATTCTTAGGTCTTGGTGAAAAGAACAAATGGTGCTGTTCATCACAACTGTGGCTTAAAGAGATGTTATTACAGAATAATCGATCCCTTGATCTGTAGAGAGGCAGTGTTGTAAAGTGGATAGAGGGTTAGAGCCAGAGGCAAGAAGGTGAAGGTTCAGATCCCACCTCTGACACTTGCTTTGTTATGCTGGGCAAACCCCACGAGGCTCTCTAAGCCTGCAAGTCCTAGACAGGTCCTGCCTTGGTGCAGGAAGGTTCTGTGTCAATGAAATAGGTCATTGGAATATTGGCCTTAATCTCTGTAGAGTTCTGAAGTTTTTCAAAGCACTTTCACATAATCCTTGCAAAAAGTGGTAAGGTAAGCAGGACAGGTACAGTTCCCATTTGACAGATGAAGAAACTGAGGCACAAGAAGACTAAACTTCCAAAGGTCATACAGCTGGTAAGGGACAAAGCTGGGGTTGGAGATGAGGTCTTTGGATCCCAAGTGTGGGGAGGGAGCCTTTTCACTGAACAGCTTCTCCACAGGTCACGTACACAGCGTCGTGTGTGTGTGTGTGTGTGTGTGTGTGTGTGTGTGTGTGTGTGTGTAATTTTGGCAGTGTAAGCTGCTGACATTGTGCCTAACACAATATCTGGCATAAGGGGAGTATAAAATAAGTACTGATTGAAATGAAAAACCCCTTTGGTTGTTTTACCTAAAGCTACACCCTCAGGATGGACCAGTGGGCCCTCCCATAGACCTTACAGCTGAACCCTTCTGTGTCTTGATTTTTAAATTTGCATCCACAGCACTTATCCTGAAGCTCTACACATAGCAAGCACTTAATAAACACAGACATTCACACAAACATAAATGTAGATTTTTTTTTTTAAGTAAAATTTTCATTCATTGAAACTAACCACTAGAGGGAGCTTAGACTGTACCAGATCCTTAGGATTTTTCTCCACAAAGAACTTTGGAAGTTCATGGAAATATATACATACATACAGATAGATATATAGATACACACACACACACACACACACACACACACACATATACATATATATATATTTTTAGTCAGTCCTAGAGTGGAGTTCCTTTTTTAAAAGTCTGACATTCTAAATTCTTTATGTCCTTACAGCCATCTGGCTTGTCAGATGTTACCATTTTAAAGATTCCTACACCACATTTATATTAAAAATCCTCCACCCAGGGATGAATGAATTTCAGTGTTCAGTAAAGTAACCCAGTAAGTTGTATACAAAGGGTAATTAATAATAGCATATAAAGAAAATGTTAATACAAGGTTTTACAATGGATATTTAACGATAGGCATAAAGACATCTATGGAGCTTGGGAAAATGTCACTAGACTCAGAGAAGCCAGGTTTATTTCCAATATCACCTCTTCAAGCTGCCAAGATGCTGACAGTTAGTTTAATGAAGTGATGATGGAAGAACGTATTTCTGTACATATTTAAGATTTGTCTAAATGACAATGACATTAGCTCAAATGAAAGGAAAGCATGCTACAATCATTTAATTACTATTGGAAGTGAAATATCAGCGATACCTAGTGAAACCTCCTTGATCAGTTCGGCTGCAGTGTGACACCCTTGTACAAGTACCCGGGTCCAAGTCGACAGGTCCCGATGCGTCTCTGCCCTGAACACATGCATCTCGATGCCCTGACGGGAGCCCGTCCTGGTGGCAAATGTGAGGTCTGATCCAATGGACGGTGACCTACATCCCGAGCCCGAGTGTACTAACCTGGGGGACAGAGAACGCAGACCTGGTGAGCATTCTAAAGGGATACAAGAGCCAACATGTGATTAAACACCAAACTGAGGGCTATAGGAGACATACTTGGTTGTACAAAGGAGAGAAAAATCTCTGTGGGGAGAAGGTGATGACTTCACACCCAGCTTCAGGCAGAGCTTGAGAGATGAATAAGGTTCACATGGGTGGAAAAGAGGACAAAGAAGGCAGGAAGTCTCATGCAAGGGGCTTTGGACAAAATGAGGCAGGCAAAAAAAACCTAGAAAAGTCTAGTCCGGCTGATGGAACAGAGGATGAGGGAAGATGGTGGTGGAAACATGGTCATTTCGAGGCCAAGTCAAACTTCTGTCTTTGAGCCCTTCCTCTCTCTGTCTTCCCTCCTTCTCAGAGTTTGAGAATTCTGTTAGAGGTAGTATAGCACGATGACAAAAAACAATGGAAGTTGGGTCAGAGGACCTGTATTCAAATCTCACTCATGATGCTTCCTAGTTGTGTGACCATGGGCCTTAGTTTCCCCATTTGGGAACAAGAGGGCTGGACCAGATGGCTTTGAAAGACTCTTCCTTCCAGCTCCAAATCTACTCTACTGCCCTGTGGCTTCATTCAGGAGGAGGAATAAACTGGGCCCTGTCTCTTCTCCAAAGTTCACCATAAATGAGGGTGGAGGAGGGGAGAGAAGGAAAGACCTTGGGAAGGTTTTTGAGGCAAAAATCCCAGGTGGTGCAGGATCCTTTTGTCCCAGAGGCTATGATGGGGAAACAAATGCCAGTTGTTGAGATGCCCATCTCTTTGTTTAGTCCTAGTTGGAGCCATATTACTTTCAATGACAGGAACTAGTTACCCTTTCTTGAGATGAAAAATTCCCCGTGTCGCATGAAGGACGAGCTCTTTGTGCCCCAAGTAAATTTCTTGTTCACCAAACAGTAACATATTTGCCATAATTGATTGATAGAATGTCAGAACTTGTATGGGACCCTAGAAAGGAACGGGCAAAGTTCTTTCCTACCTTACAATTTGGGACAAGGAAACGATGGTGTCACAAATATTACACATCATGATGTTTCACAATCAGATCATCCACCCAGGACTTAATTTGTCTTTTTAAAAATTTTTTATAATTAGTGCATTAAAATTTATTTTGCATTGAGAATTCAATGGCACCATAGGATATAACTGGGAAAACGTTGCAGAAGGAATGATCCCTGTTGGGAGTTGAGGCAAATAAAATGAGGGATGGAAATGAAATAAAGCAGAGAAAAGAAATCTACAGTGAGAAGCCTGACCAATACAGAATCTCAAATCTTCTCATACTTCCTGCTTTGTAGAAATCAGAAATAAAGCCTGAGGCAAGAAGAGAATTTCAAGGACAAAGACCCCCAAAAATGTGACATCTAGGATTTATGATATGAAAATATTTGTAGGAGGGAAACATTTGCAAGAACTTGTCAAGTACTGAGTGTTAATATGATATATTAACGAAACACCCCCACTGATAGCCAAGAATGAACTGCACATGTAAAAAACCACAAAGAATGCTATTCTCATTCAGACCATTGAACTTTTCAAGGATTTCATTTCAGAAGAACCCTTGAATCTAGTCAGTTTCCACTATGCCTCCTGTACCAAAACAACATTATTTTTAAAATGTTATACACTACCTCTGATTCAACATGCATTTATTATATGCCTACTACATGCAAAAGACAGACTAGGATAGGCTCTAGTAATTGTTTGGTTGTTTTTTCAAATTGTGTCACATTTGGAGTTTTCTTGGCAAAGATACTGCAGTGGTTTGCTGTTTCCTTCTCTAGCCCATTTTACAAATGAGGAAACTGAGGTAAACAGGGTTAAGTTACACAGCTGGTCACACAGCTGGTAAATATCTGAGGCTACATTTGAACTCGGGAAGATGAAGCTTCCTGACTCCAGGACGGGCACCCTACATATTGCACCTCTTAGCTGCCCTGGCTCCAGGAATACAAAGACAAACTGAAAAATAGTCCCTGCCTTTAAGCAGTTTACATTATACTGGGGGAACACAATATGTGAATAGCTAGGTATACGCGCAATTTTTAAAATTCAATTTTATTTTATTTTCAGGTCAAATTTTTTTCCTTCCCCTCTCCTTCTGCCCCACCTGTTGAAAAGGCAAGAAAAACAAAATCCATTACAAATATATATAGTCAGGCAAAACAAATTGCAGCATTAGCCATGTCTAGAAAAAGAGGAAGAAAATAAAATATACTTCAATCTGCACTCTGAGTCCATTAGTTCTGTATCAGGAGATGGGCAGCATGTTTCACAATAAGAATTGTGGTAGGTCACTGTGTTGCTCCGAGTTTCCAAGTCTTTCAAAATTGATTATCTTTATAATATTGTTGTTCTTATAAATTGTTCTCCTGGTTCTGCTCACTTCACTTTGCATCAGTTCATATACATCCTCTCAGGTTTTTCTGAAACCATCTCTCTCATCATTTCTTATAGCCAATAGTATTCCATCACAATCATATACCATAATTTGTTCAGCCATTCCCCAGTTGATGGGCATCCCCTGTGCTCAGTAACTCAAAAGAAACATGAGAAGCACAAATTTAGAGACATCTCCACTCAAATATTAATTTAGACTGTTTGTGCTTGACCTATGGTAGAACCTTCCAACCTAGTATTGGTCTGATCCACCATAGCTGGACACTATATATGGATCCTGGCATTGTGATGTTATTTCAGTCCTCTTTGAGCACAAGGACAACCACAAAAAAGGCTGCTGTAAATGTTTCTTTATATATGGGTCCTTTTCGTTTTCCTATGATCTCTTTAGAGTACAGACCTGGAAGTGGTATTGCTGAGTCAAAAGGTATACAGAAGATAATTGGAGATGGAAGAGAGAACAAACAGGGAGATTAGGAAGCATTTTGCATAACTGTAGCCCCAGCACTGAACCTAGAAGAAAGCCAGGAATTCTAAGAGCCTGAGGTGAGCCCAGAGTGCATTTCAGGAGTCAAGAATGGTTTGTGCAAAAGTACAAAGGCAGGAGACAGGACCCCAAGCTTAGAAAGAACACCAACAGGCCAGTTTGGTTAGGACACAGAGTGTAGGGATAGAATAATGGGCTATGCCTGGAAACGTAGACTGAAGCCAGATGAAGTGCCAAGCTGAAGGATTTATATTTTATCTTATAAATCATAGGAAGCCACTGCTCTCTCAGCAGAGGATTGACATGGAGACCTGTGCTTTTAAAAGATTATTCTGGTGGCTGTGTGGAGGACAGAAGACATCGGGAACAAGGAGACCAATTAGGATAAGAGGTGATGGGGGCCTAAACTTGAGGGGTGGCTGTGTGAGTGGAAAGAAAGAACAGGAAGCCAGCTCTGTGTGGTACAGGTGGCAACTGAGTCTTGGGGGTGGTACAGGAGTGGGAAGAACCAAGGAAGACTGAATCCGTAAACCCAGGGGACTGAAAGGATGGAGGTGCCCAGAAGTCTGCAGAAGAATGGGCTTGAGGGGGGTGGGGGAGGTGTAGGGAGATGAATTCCAGCTGAGATATTGAATTTAAGATGCCAACATTTTTCCAGATTGGAGACATTTTAAAATCTTTTAAGGGAATAGCCATCTGAAAAGAAAATGGCAGGTCATAGTTTCATAAAAGAATTATGGATTGAACGGGAACAAAGATCTTGGACTGTGTCTTAACGTACAGTCTTCACCTGCTCTTTATTTCCCCCATGTAGTAAACTAGGCAAGATGTTGGAAGGGCCAAGATGAATGCACAGTTCAACTCTCTGTGTAACTGGAGAGCCAGTGTTGGCTTGGGTGCCTGACCCAATGTGAAAAGCAGCTTCCTCCAATCTATCAGTTGCTACAGCTAAGAGAGGAAAAAAAAATCTTCCGATTACTCCAAAACCAACACGTCATCTAGACGTTAGTCAACTCAGCAAGAGCTAAAATAAAGTATTGTTAGAGAGAGAGAGAGAGAGGGAAAGAAAATGAGAGTGAGTGTGTGTGTGTGTGTGTGTGATCAAAGTGAAACCCAGTGGTTGGAAGAGTAACTGGACGTATTCCACCGTATTCAGCTAGGCTTTAGTCCCAAATCAGATATTAAAAAATATTAACTCCAGAAGAATTTTTTCCTTCAGATTCAGATGGAGTGTTTGGCACAAGGAACTTAATTCAGCCCAGCTGCAGGACTCTTGCTGAGCAGCAATTGGTTATCGGCCATGGCCATGGCCACGCCTTCTGAGGAAGGACACCCGAGCTCAGGAGAAGGTGTGAGTGGAGTCTGTGGTAAGCACAGCTCCCCTTGGTTTCCATGTTGTAAAGTAGTTACATACTGTTTTACTCCCCCAACCAAAGCTTGGAGGAAAAGCCTACAAAACCCACATCCTGAGCCTACAGAGCAAGTAATCTACAGCCCTGTAAAATTGGTGTCTGTCTTCCTGCTTCCACTGTCCATCTGGCTTCAATCTCAGGAACTGCTTGTAAAAGGAAAATTACTTTTTTTTTTCACTTTTAAGTTTTGTTTAATTTTTCAGGCTAAAATATCAGCTTTAAAAAAATATAAAACAACACTGGTTTCACAGACCTTTTTTACACGTGTAATGCAATGTAAGTGACAAGGCCTGGGAAATATCACAAAAGAGGATCATCTCTCTTTTCAAACTAGTCAATGCTTGATGAGGCAGGGAATGACCCCGTAGTTTATGGATGGGCAAGGCCATTTTTGTCTTCCTTCTTTACACTCTTTAATGCTGCCTACTTTCTAGCCATTTTATTACTCATTACAGAATGTCCTAAAGGATTGGAAAAAGGAGAATGGGCGAGACACAAATTTCAAAGCCTTCTTTCTCTTCTCCTACAGATCCCAGAAACTTCTACCTCCCTCAAACAAGCCACTGGATTTCCATTTCCTAGAATGCCCTGCCTCCTTTCAAAGGTCATCACATTCAATGATCTCTCTTTCCCTGGTCATCTATTGTCCCTATACTTGACTCAAGTATATAGCTTCTCACTTACACTTCTGCTCTAACTGGATAGTACGGAGAGAGGGAATAATAATAATAACAACAACTGAAATTCATATAGCATGTTCAAGATTTATATAACATTTTACATACATCTTTTCATCCGAGACTCACAACAATCCACTGGGGGTAGGTACTACAGGTATTAATATCTCTATTTTACAGATGGGGAAACTGAGGCTCAAAGAGGTTAGCTTGTCCAAGATCACACAGCTAGTACCAGACGAGGGATTGGAGCCCACATTGTCCTAACTTTCTATTTTATGACTTAAACCTTTGGTTCAACCACCTATATACCCATGTACCTCTAATGATTGATTATGGAAAAATTAACCTTACCACCTGCTGTCACTTTGCAAGTCATCTACCCTACTTACTTCCTGAGCTAGACAGAAGTAAAGTTGTAATTGGGGGGGGGCAATTGGGGTTAAGTGACTTGCCCAGGGTCACACAGCTAGTAAGTGTGAAGTGTTTTGGTCTGAGACCAGATTTTGAACTCGGGTCCTTCTGACTTCAGGGCCGGTTCTCTATCCACTGCACCATCTAGCTGCCCCGTAAAGTTGTAATTTTAACAGCAATTAATCTTGCAAAAGGCAAGATTATAGGCCATGGCACCTATAAATTCAATATCCTGTAGCAGGGCTTAAAGTAACCAGAATTCACTGAATTTACTTATATTTAATAATTTAAGAAAATTCACTGGTTCACACCAAATTTTCTGGTTGCTTGTACTGTGGCTATATGGTACCAGTCCCCAAACTATCGTTAAGCTATAGTCCCATGGTTCCTGAACCCCCTCCGAGTGGCTCCCCAACCTCCCCCTCCCAGGCGGATGAATTAAAGCACATAAAAATGCAGTAAGAACCACTCTCCTATCTCGTGTACACTCTATGGAATGATCAGCTTGTCGATATTTTCTCCTTCTGGTCATTTTTACTAGTAACATGATTTTCAGAATGCCTGATGCTTTAGACCTTTCTTTAGCTTACCTTAGACAGGTTTCAATTCAAATACCTCCCCTTACGGTTCAGGCATGCTCCCATTTCCTCCTTATACTTGCAAATAAAATCTAGCCTAGCAGTGCACACACAAGCTTACCCCACTTCAGCAGAACACAGAAGTGTTCTTGGTCTGGTAGGCCCGGTTTACTGCTTTCATTCATTCACTTCCCTAAAGAATTATTACTGCTGTCCTGGGTTTCTGGAAGGCTTATGGGATTTGGTGAGAAGGTAACATATCTTTCAAAAAAGAGACACAGGAATTCACTCGTGATTAAATATTTCCTGCAGAAGTGCCATAGGGCAAGTCCCTATCTTAGGGAGCAGCAGAATAGTAAAAGAAGGAGGGACCTCCTTTATCTGAGGCGTGTCCACCCACCCTCTGTATGTCCCATGGCCCTGAGTCTCCTCCTGCATGCACAATGTATGCATCTTGCTTTACAGAAATGGTGCCAGCCTCAAAAGCTACACGCCAACCAAATTTGGCACTGAAGGACCCTGATGTTCTACAGAGTGTCTACACAAGTAACAAGGGCTCATATTTAGGCTTTTAGTTTTTACCCTTTTCATACAAAAATGCCCCAAATCCCTGTGAGCCTTCTCCCTCTCTCCTCCACCTGCACCTCAGTGTAAGTCTGGCATAATGACACTTCTATCTACCAAATTACTTTAGGGGAGGAGTTGACTTTTAATAAAGTTGGATTAACAAGCTTATCTGAGACATAGCAACAAATGAATATACATATTCTAATTTAGCCATATTTGAGTATTATCATTTAAGAAACTTTAGCCTGCATTCTTTGACTGATAAATGGTCACAGAACATGAATAGGCAGTTTTCAGAAGAAGAAATAAAAGCTACTAATAGTCATAAGGAAAAAGTGCTTGAAATCACAAATAATTAAATAAATTTAAATTAAATTAAAACAGCTCTAAGGTACCAACTCACACCCATCAGACTGGCAAAGCTGACTTAAAAAAAAAAAAGGAAATTACAAATGCTGGAAGGTCTGTGGGAAAAATGGCCACACTACTTTGCTATTGATGGAGCTGTGAACTGGTCCAGTCATTTGGGAAATAAATTTTTAACCTATGACCCCAAACTGTTAAACTGTGCATAACCTTTGGCCTAGCATATTGCTATTAAGTCTATGCCTAAAAGTGAGCAAAGAAAGACGGGGAAAGACCCTATGTATTTATAGCAGCTATTTTTGCGGTGGCAAAGAATTGGAAATACAGTAGGTATCCATCAATTGGGGAATGAATGGCTAAGCAAGTAATGGTGCACGAATGTGATGGAATACTATTGTGTTGTAAGAAATGATGAAGGAGATGGTTTCAGAAAAACCTATGAAGATCTGTATGAACTGATGCAAAGTGAAATGAATAGAACCAGGAGAACAATGTATATAATAACAACAATATCGTAATGGCAAAAAGCTTTGAAAGACTTAGGAACTCTGATAAACAAAATGATCCACTAAAATTCCAGAGGACTCATGATAAAACATGCTACCCAGCTCCAGTGCAGAATGAGGCATATTTTTCTTTCTTTTTTTTTTGGAGATGGGTCAATACAGGAATTTGTTTTACTTGACTATACATGTTTGTAACAAGGATTTTTCTTACTTTCTCAATGAGGAGAGGAGGAGGTAATAGGGAGAGAATGGGGACTTGAAAATAAAATCGAATTTTTTTATTTTAAAGAAGTTTTGCACTAAAAAAATCTGCAATTCTTTGATAGATGATTAATTGGACCCTTATTTTATTCCACTCACTATTAATCAGTTTAATATGATTCTATACAGGTAGTGATTATAAAGTCTGTATATTAGGCCCCACAGTTGTGAAGTGCAGATTATAAACTCATTTGCTTAATCATAGGAAACTCATCAGAGGATTGCCATCCTTGTTTTTGGTGACCAAGTCTAGTATGGCAGAGGTGACTCAATGAAATAGAAAGTCCCCCAGCTATTTTTGTTGCCCCTCCATCCCTCTATTGCCCAACATGGAGAGATGGCCATGAGTGTTTGGCCAAGAAATGGTCCTTCCTGTGTTCCAGCCTGTGGCTTGCCTTTCTGCTAGCTCATCAGCCCATGTACATGTGTGGATATCCTTTTATCAGCCCAGTTCATGGGTCTGCTCATTGGCTCAGCAGGACCTCCCGAAAGGTCAAGATAGGTCTGTTAATAAGGCCTGCTCGTCAGCTCATTTGCCAACCAATGGGATTATGTATTTTACATAGACCCTCCTAGAGGGTCAAGGTCAAGGTCTATCAACCAATGACATGCATTTTCCTTTGACTCTTCTGTACCATTAGGGTATCAAGGACTATAAAACTAAAGCCCTGGAGGAAGGGGGCATCTGAGATCATGAGGAAGATCTGAGGTCAACTTCATTAGAGGGAGCCATGGACCCTTTAATAAAGTACTACTGGCTCAGAGCTCTGTCTCATTTCTTTTATTGTAGATTGGGTAATTCTGGACCCCACAGTTCTCAAATCTACATCTCCCAATTCTCTACGTCGGGATTGCTCAGAACATCTTGCTGGTTTTACTCACAATGAAGTCAGTGTTTATTTTGTGGAGTTAAAATTATGTGCTTTTATATTAGAAAGAGAAGCTAAAGGATATATGGGCTAAGTCATGGGGTTTATTCACATTACTGCACTCTAGTTGAAATGCTTTCATCATTCAACTTGAAGGCTATCAAAATTTCAGTGGTTTTCCAGTCACAGACAATGAAATAATGATCACGTCATTCACTTATCTTAGTGACCTAGACAGCTCTTAAAAGAGCAGTTGTTTTTAAAAATTTAATGAATAATGAATAAAAATTTAACGAAAAGATTAGGAAGAAGCTTATTTCACACCTAAAAATGACAGGAAAGACAGAAGTGCACTGGCCTGAAACAGGCTCTATAATATGACCGATAGAGTTAAAAAGCCACGCTTTTGCTTAAAATAAGACTAGTTACTTAAAAAGCAATGATGTTACTAAAATTCATCATGCAGTCTAAAAATTCCTTGGGAGAGTTGGACTCAATTCACTCGGAGGTATGTGTCTCACCGGGTGGCGATAAGAGGGTAGCTATGACAAGGTGATGCCCAGGCATCCCTTGTCCACGGCATGTAGTCATAGAGCAGTAAATCTTTCTCTGTCACAGCCATCAGGACTGGTCTCCACTGCTGCCTTCCACCATCTAGTTTTGCCTGAAACATCAAGATAAATGGATTGTTAAATGGTAAACACAGAAAGGGGAACAGCCTGTGTAGCCATATACCTGGTAAACAGTCCTGCTGTTCATCATCTATGTGGCATTAAGATCAGGGGAAGAAAAAAAAAACACCCTATCTTAAAAAGAAACCTGAAGAAGTGAAGAAAAAGTGGGGAAAGGGAATAGCAGCTTCTCCACAAAGCTGTCAATCTCGACAATTTATTCTCCCCTTCCCTGGCCCTATAATCAGCAATTTCCACAGAGTATCTTGTGAAATGGAATACTTTTTCCTATTTCTCCTAACAATTTTACACCACACTAGCCCTTCACCAAAGTGTGGTAATCTGTTGAGAATGGTTACTAGTACTGGAATGTTTGAGGAAAAGACTGAGTGCCTTCCGTGCAAAAGACAGACATACAAAACCCCGTCATTAAAGAAACCTATAATCTAAACTTCTGTCAAAAGGATACCAAAGAACATTTTGGGAAGATCGTGTTCATTTATCAGCTAAGAAATTATTGCATGATTCAGTTGCATGTGGTGCCATTATTTCTGGAGACCATTAAAAACGTCAAAACTCTGTTTACGAGAGATTTATCCTTATTATCAAAGGTCAAAGAATAGATGGTAGGAAACCACACAAGGGAAGTCCAGCATGCAAGGAAAAGAGTACTAGATTTGGATTCAGAAGTCCTGGGTAAAAATCTCAGCTTTGCCACATACTACTAGGGTGACCTTGGGTAAGTCACTTAAAGTCTCTTGGGCCTCAATTTCTTCATCAGTAAAAATGAAAGGATTGGACCAAATGATTTCTAAAGTCCATTTCAACTCTAAGTCTTTGACCCTACATTCATTTCACTGTTGAGGCCCTCGTCTTCTCAGTGGGAAACTGTAACTATTAATAGTAAAGCATATAAGAAAAGTTAAATCAGTACATCTCCAGCTGGATGACACAAAGGGACCTTGAAATCGGTGACGTCCAAAATGGAACCCATTGTCTTCAGCCTCTAAACCTGCCCCTTCTTCAAATTTCCTGATTTCTGTTAAGGGTGCTATCCTCCGAGTATTCCTTGACTCATCCCCTTCCTTCTTCTCCTCTATCCAATTGACGATATATCTCTTATAAGACTCTTCTCTCTAGTTGTACAGCATTTATCTTGCTGTTCCTCTGTCTACTGCAATCCTTTTCCAATTGGTCTCACTGTTTCCAGTCTCTCTCCCTTTTCAACCCTTCCTCCACAAAACTGATAAATTGATATTTCTAAAATATATATCTGACCATGCCATCCTGCTACTAAAAATCTTCCCTGACTCCCTGCCACCATTAGGATAAAATACAAAATCCTCAGCCCAGTGTTTAAGACCTTCCATTATATAGCTCCTACTAGTGTTATTTTTTTATTTTATTAAATTTTATTTTTAGAACAGCATTCTCTGACACTCTTCCCCCCTCACTCCTATTAAGAGATCAAAAACAAAGGAAATCCCCTAGACAAATACAAACATGTATTGTTATGCAAGACAACCCCCCAGGTTGGCCAAGTCAAAAAGAGAGGGAGAGGGAGAGAGAGGATGGGGGGGGGAGAGAGAGAGAGAGAGAAGAGAGAGAGAGAGAGAGAGAGAGAGGAGACAGAGACAGAGACAGAGACAGAGAGGGAGGGAGAGAGAGAGAGGAGAGGGGGAGAGAGACTTCTCCATCTTTGGAGTCTATCATGTCTTTATCAGGAGATGGTGAGCAATATGGAATTATGGTTGGCCATTGTTGATCAGAGCCCCAAAAGTTGTTTGTCTTTATAATACTGTTATTTAAATTTTTCTCCTGTTCTGCTCACTTCACTCTTCATCAGTTCATAAAAGTCTTCCCAGGTTTTTCTGAAACCATTCCCTTCATCATTTCTTTTTTTCTTTCTTTCTTAGGCAACTGGGGTTAAGTGACTTGCCCAGGGTCACACAGCTAGTAAGTGTCAAGTGTTTGGTCTGAGGCCAGATTTAAACTCAGGTCCTCCTGACTTCAGGGTAGGTGCTCCATCCACTGTGCCACCTAGCTGTCCCCCTCCCCCCCATCATTTCTTACAGCACAATAGTATTCTATCACATTCATGACCCACAACTTGTTCATTCATTCTCAGTTGACAGGAAGGAACTTCCCCCACTTCTGATTCTTTGCCTTCTGGTCTTATTTCATATTATTTTCCTTCCATTCCAATCAAACTGGTCTGCGTATGGCTTCCTGTATATAATCACTCATTTCCCATGTCTAACCACAAGCAAGTAATTCACGTTCATTTTTAAAAGAGTAAAGAATTATACATTGGCCCCTCCTATCTAGTGACTGTTTTAAAGCTCATCACAGCTCTTAAAATTAATGAGGAGCAAAAGACTAATATGGGAACTGGAGGGAAGCTTTAGATTTATGAGGTGCTTCATTAGAAGAGGTATCCTGGGGGATAGGTAACAAAAGGCTCCCCAAAATGAGATCCCAAGCCTCAGATAGGTGATATCGAGGACCCAAAAACACAAGGAAAACTCCAAGAACCCCTCCGTGACTCCATGGGGTCTTCTTGGCAAAGATATTGCAGTGGTTTGCCATTTCCTTCTCCAGTGGATTAAGGCAAACAGGTTAAATGACTTGCCTAGGGTCACACAGCTAATAAGAATCTGCTGGATTCAGGTCTTCCTGACTCCAGGCCCAGCACTCTATCTACTGAACCACCCAGCTGCCTCCCAAACAGAGGTTGAGTGACTTGCCCAAGGTCACACAGCTACTAAGTGTCTGAGACTACATTTGAACTCAGGTCTTCCTGACTACAGGAAGTCTTCAGGAAGTGATGACAGAACTAGAACATAGCTATACTTGTCATTAGGACGAGGGTGGATTCCAAGTGACAAAGACAAAATTATGAGGATTCTAAGAAGAGCTATACATATGCTGTTTTGAAACCGTTAAGACAGCCAGATCAACGCAGGGTGAATCTTTTCTCACAAAAAATAAATTTTTATTGATATCTTTTGTTTTTTTTGACATCACCAAAATGTTACCCAATATACACTCCCTCCACTGAAAGCCATTCTATACAACAATATTTTTAAAGAAAAAAAAAGGAAAAGGGGGGGAAAAACCCAGTAACATTAATCAATATATTGAAAAAGTCTGGAAATATGTGCAGCGTGCCACACCTGTGGCCCTCTCAACACTGCAAAGGGATGGGGTGAGGGAACGTGCTCGTGTCTCTTCACTGGAGCCAGGCTAATTCCTTGTAATTCGCTGTGGATTGCTTTGTGGCTGTTCTTTCTACTGATATTGCGGCTGCCGTCTGTACTTTGTGGCTCTGCTTACCTACTTCTGCATCATGCTTTGTAAATCTTCCCTGCTTCTCTGCATTCATTATGCTCGTCGTTTCTTACCATAGAGTAACATTCCATTACATTGATGTACCATGATCTTTTTAGCCGTTTGTCAGCTGATGGGCATCTACTTTGTTTTAATTTTTTTTTCTATCACCAAAAGTGCTGCTATAAATACTTTGGTGAATATAGGGACTTTCTTCTTACCGTTGACCATGTTGAGGTATAAACCTACTAGCAAATCTTAAATTTAGTCCTCTAGATCTTACTGTCAACTATGCCTGGATGAATATGTTCTCAGGATTGTGTACTTGAGGGAGGGAAGAGAGAAAATTTAGAATGCAGAATTAAAAAAAAAATAAAAAGAATGCTTAAAATATCCTTATATGGGAAGAATTTATTCTTATTTTTATTTATTTATTTATTTTTGGTGAGGGCAATGGGGTTAAGTGACTTGCCCAGGGTCAAACAGCTAGCAAGTGTTATGTGTCTGAGGCCAGACTTGAACTCAGGTTCTCCCGACTCCAGGGCCAGTTCTCTATCCACTGTGCCACCTAGCTGCCCCAAAAAATATTATTTTTAAAACAAAAGATAAGGCTAGGAGAAAAAAAAAAAGAACTGTGTACTTCAGAAGTAACTATAATTTTGATGTTTTCCCAAACTATAGATCTAGGAGTGATTTTTTGACATACACAGAGATACTAACAACTCATAGGGTGATGGCTTTTTAATGTTTACAAAGTACTCTCCTCCAAATAAGCTGTTGAAGTACATAGAATAATGATTATTGTGTCCATTCTATGTATGAGGAAACTGAGGTAAAGGTTTGCCTTGCTCAGAGTCCCATAGCCAGTAAAGGTGTCAGAACCAGAACCTGAAACTGGGTCAGTTGACTTCAAGTCTTTTGCTTTTACCACTATCTCAAGCTGCCAAGTCTAAAAATGCTCCCTAGTATTTTTTGGGTCCTCTCCTAAGGAGTTAAGTTTAGTTAAAGGAGTTGATATTAACCCAAAAGCTTAAGACATGTGGCATCCCAAGAAGGAAAAGATCTCTCCTTAAGGGAAAAAACAGTATTCTAGTAAAAATTACAATAATTTATTTAAAATTTTTTTGGGGAAAAGATTTGAGATAGTCTAGGTTTAAGTATAGGCCTTTGAAACATCTAAATTCAATTGATTTATTCCATTAAAAACATTGGGGTCTGAAAAGTATTTGCCAACAGAAGCAATATCCAGCATGAAGACAAAGAACAGTTTTTCTCAGGTAAGTCTAAAGAAAAAGAAGTGATCATTCCCAGGCTTCAGAATCCAAGGGTTTGTTTCACTTTAATACTGGAGTAAGGCAAATGAACACTTGAGGATTTCAGGTCTGTGTTTATAGGTTTTTGACAGGTACAGGTGCTCTCCTTACTGGTCCAGGTCAGAACCTCTCCACACCACAAAACAGTTTTCTTCAGTTTCTCTGGCTCCCCCAGAGTCATCCTTTGCTGTCCAAACCTCTGGTGGCCTCAGAAGATGCAATGGCACCACCATCCATGGCCTGTACTCTGCTCAGAGGACTTGGTTAGGATTGTCAGAACTTGCAATCTATTGGAATAATCTTTGAGAGTCCAGGCTCATCTCCTGCTATGAAGTACTTGAATGTTTCCT